TAGGCGTTTACGCGTGTGCGTAAGACCTTTACGACTGCACATATGCATGTGCACAAGAGCAGAATACGTTTTCGTGTGTGTATTTAATGTATAACGGACGGTATAAGCTAAAATTATCTAATTATCTATTTCAGTTAATGTTGATGATTGCGTTGTTCCTTAATCTTCGAATTGGATGGGGCTTATTATTTTTTGCAGACCTTAAGAGCAATTTTATAAAAGTAAACTTGAACTTTCGATTATGTCAAATAGAATGGCTGATCTTTGGAATATGGCAACTGGTAGTTTGGCGACATTTTGGAGACGATAAAGGTTCCTACCTAGGAATTTGGTATTAATGTGAGAAGTACTCAGTTCCGATTACGCATTATTTTGTGTGAGGGAAATGAGAGATCATGAGATGTGTCATGTGACATTAATGGACGAATTACAGTTCTTTAATCGGAAAAGGGGGCAAATCTGGAAATTTTGTATTTAGCTTTATTCTGTGTTGTGTGAAACAGTGTTGGTTAATTTTGGATCCCATGGCCCTATCTAAAGTGAATTCGAAATGGGTATTTAGTGGGATTGAAAGGGGTAGTAATAAGTGTTTTTTTAGGTTAGAGGAAATAAAGATTGATTTATAAGTTTGATAAGTCTGTTTGGAGGATGAAGGTTTTCAACATTTTGCTGTGAACTATAAGTATGATTTAAAGATCCTGAAACAGGCGCAGATACGATTGCTTTTATTTAGCGGAGGGAAATAAGTAAAGTGTATCCGCCACATAATCAAGATTCTGAAGAAGGTTAGGTAGATAGTATTTTTAATTATATGAGGATATTATTTTTATGCATTTGTTCTAAATGTAAGGAGTAAAAAAAGTAATTGGTATTATTGGAAAATTGTTATTAGCAATGATTTAGTTTAAAGTAATTAGGATTGTAAGCTAATTTATTAATTTAAGGTATGTGCTTATTTGCTATTTTAAGTAGTGTTTTTGAATTAATTATATTTTAATTAAATGATAGTTATTTTGTGAATTATATGTTGTAGGAATTTTGGTATACATTTGAGTGGAAGTAAACGTGCATGGAAATAATTTAAATATTTGACACTAAGTATTTGTAATGTTTGCGGTACGAATTCGTTGGTGACGTTTATAATATAATAGATAATTTAGAGGTAAAAGTTTTTGGATATTTTATTTATTTTATACGTGGAAATGTTCATCTTTGGAAAGGGTATATACTTTTTCGCGATCTGGTAATTTCATATATGTTCTTTTTACCGGATTTAAAGATTCAGAAAATTGTCATGCATTTTCGTGAAATTTTTCTAATTTATGAGAAAAGAGCAGGGTTGATACTAAGTATTTGTAATGCTTGCGGTATGAATTCGTTGGTGATGTGTATAATGTAATAGATGATTTAGAGGTAAAAGTTTTTGGATATTTTATTTATATGTGGAAATGTTCATATTTGGAAAGGGTAAATACTTTTTTGCGATCAGGTAATTTCATATATGTTCTTTTTACCGGGTTTAAAGATTGAGAAAATTGTCATGTATTTTCGTGAATTGAAATTTTCTAATGTATGAGAAAAAAAGCAGTTGTACATGGATATAGTGAAGAATGTGCGCAATGCCATTTTTGTGCAATTCTGGATTTTTTTTTAGTAAAAATAAGTCGACGTTGACATGGTTAGTGATATTTATTAAAGATAGTTATTTTGTGAATTTTATGTTTGTAGGAATTTGGTACACGTTTAAGTTGAAGTAAAACGTGGCATGGGAAATAATTTAAATTTTGATACTAAATTTGTAATGCTTGCGGTATGAATTCGTGGTGACGTGTATAATGTAATAGATGATTTAGAGGTTTTTTGGATATTTTATTTATTTTATATGTGGAATGTTCATATTTGGAAAGGGTAAATACTTTTTCGCAATCAGGTAATTTTCATATATGTTCTTTTTACGGGTTTAAAGATTGAGAAAATTGTCATGTATTTTCGTGAAATTTTCTAATTTATGAGAAAAAAGCAGTGTACAGGATATAGTGAAGAGTGTGAGCAATGCCATTTTTGTGCAATTCTGGAATGGTTTTTTTTAAGTAAAATAAGTCGGCGTTGTACATGGTTTATGTGTAGTGTTATTTTGAAAACGCGTAAGGAGTATGGTATTGTGCACTTTTCCCAATTTTGCAGTGAATATTTGTCATGATTAAGCAGTTTTGTTAGATAAAGTTCTAGCATAAGTGTAATTCGGCTGGTAGATTGTTGGAAGAAGTGTTCAGTAGATAAAAAGAAAAGAAACATGTCTTTACTTCATGAAGACAAAATGGCGGCGGGAAAAAAAAAAATAGAGGGTTGCTGTAGGAGAGTTGGTCGCCAAATTTTCGCCAAAAAAACACCAAGTTACCATAATGTAAAGATCAACCCAAATATTTAAATTATTTCCATGCACGTTTACTTCAACTTAAACGTATACCAAATTCCTACAAATATTAAAATTCACAAAATAACTATCATTTAATTAAAATATCACTAAACCATGTACAGCCGACTTATTTTACTTAAAAAAAAACATCCCAGAATTGCACAAAAAAATGGCATTGCGCACACTCTTCACTATATCCATGTACACTGCTTTTTTTCATAAATTAGAAAAATTTCACGAAAATACATGACAAGTTTTCTCAATCTTAAACCCGGTAAAAAGAACATATAGAAATTACCTTATCGCGAAAAGAGTAATGAACATTTCCCATATAAAAAAAAATATCCAAAAACGTTTACCTCTAAATCATCTATTACATTATACAATCACCAACGAATTCATACCGCAACCATTCAAATATTGTCAGATATTTAAATTATTTCCATGCACGTTTACTTCAACTAAAATGTATACCAAATTCCTAAACATAAAATTCACAAATAACTATCATTTAATTAAAATATAATTAAATTCAAAAACACACTACTTAAAATATAAATGAGCACATACATTAAATTAATACTACATAAATACCATTCGAATTCACTTAGTTACGACCATGGGATTGCAAAAATTCACGAACACTGTTTCACACAACACAGAATAAAGCCAAAACAAAATTTCCAGATTTTTTCCGATTTCCCCCTTTCCGATTAAAGAACCGTAATTCGTCCATTAATATCACATGACATATCCCATGATCTCTCATTTCCCTTACACAAAATAATGTGTAATCGGAACTGAGTACTGCTCATATTATTACCAAAGTGCCAGGTAGTAGAAGAGACCTATCGTTAAGCTGTGTCCTTTATTAAACCATAAAACAAAACTCTTAAGTATGATACAAACTATTAATTCATATAGACTCTTGATTATGATTTTGATTAGCAGCTTTAAAATGTTGCATTCTATTATGTTTAAAAAAATTGTGGGTTAATCTTCGGATTATGGTAACTTGGCAATTTTTTGGCAAAAATTTGGCGACCAACCCTGCTACAGCAATCTGCTAGTTTTGTTTTGGAGGCCATTTTGTTTTCACAAAGTAAAAGCTTTTTTTTTTTTTTTTTTTTTACTCAACATTTATTCTAACAATCTGCTAGCCCAATTACGCTTATGCTAGAACTTTAATGGAACAAAAGTGCTTAATCATGATGAAGATTAGGTGCGAAATTGGGAGAAAGTGCAGAATCACCCACTGCTTGCCGCGTTTTTAAGAATTGCACATACACGGTATGATCTATGTACACATCGACCTATTTTCACTTAAAAAAAACATCTCAGAATTGCACAAAAATGGCATTGCGCACACTCTTTACTTTATCCATGTACACTGCTAAAGTCCTAGCTAGTAACCTTTATCGCCTTACCAAAATGTCGCCAAACTACCTGTTACCATATTCCAAAGATTAGCCGAATTGTGTTTAAAATTGTAATGAATTAAAACTGTGTTTGTGTTGGGGGGGGCAAATCTTTAGGCCATATTTTCAAAGCTAAATGGCAACGACAGGCAGATGCAAATTAACTTGCTCAAGTTATATTGCAAGAGTAGAAAGGATCGTCTGTTGCCTTGATGATCGTGCATTGCCTTGGTTATCTTCCTTTTAGTTTCACTATTGTTTCATAATTCAATAAATATGTTTTCATGAATACAGTCCGCTTGAAATTTATTCTTGTTTACATATGTTCTACATTATTTACAAACAGAATGAAAGAACAAAAGAAAAAATATGATAAATTGAAGAATGGAATATGGAACAAATAATTACTACTTTTGAAAGACTTTTTGAATTACTACTCAGAAAATGAAAGATGAGTTTCATTTTTCAATCTATTTTATTAGCCACTATTATTTATAGAATGACTTACACATGCTACACGTTTTTAATTTAACAGCTATAATCAAGTATTAAAATTATATATCTGAAAATTAGGTCCCAGAAAACAGAGATAAAATATTTTAGCCTAAACTATAAATCATACAATTAAGATCAATAGTAAAAGATTTCTTTAGTGGAATGATTAACATATTTTACAGCAACTGTATCACAAAAATACTAATTATCAATATTTGTTAATATAAAAAATTTTTAAAATGTAGTACATAAAATTCTTATGACTTGGTTGAAATTAATGAAATTTGTCATAACAAAACATTAACATGAGCAAGATGCTAATAAGTAAAAGCATTGGCTTACTTATGAATATTCCTATGACAATTTCCCATGTCATTTCACCTAGTACATTAATAAATACAGCATGGTACACAACTACACATTATAAAAATTTGATAATTTGCGGTCGGTCTGCATATTTTATTCGACTAAAGCTAAATTAGTGGGAGTACAAATAGATTTACTCTATGCGAAATGCACAAATGTAAATTTATTTTTAATAGCAACGCACTTAACTATGAATGACAGTATTTCCGAATGCCATACATACACATGAATTACAAACATATAACGGGCAAGTACCAATACCAAAGTTAAAAATATTAGATACAGATCAGTGAAACAATACTTACTAAATATAATATTTATGATTATATTCGCTAAGCATTACTTATCAAGTATATTCAAATGATTCTATAATAGCATGACTGAGCGATAGCCGTTTAAAATACGAAAGAAGGTATGAAATGCCTCTTTATTTCCCAACAAAAAAAAAAAAAAAAAGGCTTGCCTCCGCGAATGCCTGCATGCTTCCATAATTTGCTAATGGCAACACTAGTAATTACAATAATTTAAAAAAGAGTTAGTAATTAGTTTTCATATTTTTAATGTTCATTTTACACCTGTTTCAATCTATAATTTCTTACATTTTTATTTCTAATCGTATTCATAATAATTGATTAGTATCTAAGAATTATTGTAAGGATACGTACTCACTTGCCAATAATAGTTATTATTTTATATGAAAAACTAGGGCATTATTCTTGTAAATCCCAAATATCACTTAAGCGAGTATCAGAGTATAGGAGAGAACTGTAAAATGTCTAAAGATTACAAAATTTGACCTTTTAAGTAGAAAAAGTATCATTATATGAAATTTAATCCATATAATTTAATTTTAGTTCATATTTTGCAATGATCTTCCCCACCAAGTATACTTTTGTAAAACAAAACAAAAACAAAAACAAAAAATTATGCTGTCGGCGAATGATAATTACGGCAGGTGATTAGTCATTTACGGCATGGCATCAACGTGTCATGTTAGTCAATCGAAATCATCCAGTAGTAGGGGAGGATGAAGTGTGAAGTTTTATGATTTCATAAATAATTACGTTTTCTCTTTTTTATTTTTTGGATTGAAATAATGTCTAATACTCGTTTACGAGAAGAATATCCTTTGCATTGGTCAGTTTGGAATAATGATTCATCGGAACTGCAGAAAGCGATAGATTCAAATGTGGTAAGAATTTCTGTCAAATTAAATCAATTAAAGGAAAATTGCATGCGATTAAAAATTATAACAAATTCGTTTTAGTGTGTGTACATTTAAAGTTTAATGTTACGTTTTAGCTTCTGTCAATTAGTTTTGAAATTTTGAACAGAATTTGTTTTTTCCATTTGCTATTTAATTGAATAATACATACAGTGTCTGACAAAAATGATTGGCCAGTATAATTTTTTTACTTTTTTAAGTAATAGGATAGATACAAGCTTTGAAATAAATTAATAAAGAATACTTTGATTTTGAATACATATTTTCATAGCTCTCTCTCTACTTAATAAATTTGAAAAATTAAATAGTAAAATAAAAAAAAAAAAGTTTTAGGCTGAAATGGAAAGAAAAGATACCACAAAATTAATCTGACATTTTCATAATTTCTAACTAAAAACGTCTGCAATAAATAAAAAATGAAATTGTATTGACTTAATTTGGATAAAAAAGCTAGGCAAAAATCTAAAAATCATTTAAGATTTTTTTTTTGCTATGTATATATGTGTCTCCTATAACTCAAAAATGATTAGCCTCAGAATGTTGAAATTTTGTATATATGGGTTTGCTATAACATCTAGTTGTGCACCTACCATTTTTATTGCAATTAGCAGCACCGAAAGTATATATATATACCCTCATCCCTTACCCTGGTAAAAAGTCATTTACTGGCCTTTATTTTCGCAATCTTTGGTAATTGTCATATGCTTCTAGTTACAGAAGTGTTTTAAATGATAAAATTATTCGGGTAGAGTAGACTTTAAGGTACCCCTTGTATTATGGCGAAGTTGTTGTGTGATTTATCAACAAGTTGTTTCATTTATGGTAGCCTGAGTAGTTAATTTGAAAACCCTATTGTGACGTCGGGTGCATGATTCTGGGAAAATTTGAATCATGGGAGGTTTTGTAAGCGTTTTTGTGGTGTGTGTTAATACCGTTTAGATGGGTTTATAGGAAGAAAGGTTCAGATGGTCACTATGTGAAGCGTTCGATCAGAAAGAGTACTTGGTTTGAAAAAAGTCATTTGAGTATGATTGATATTTTGATTTTTACGTGGCTCTGGGTATATGAAGCGAACTCGAAAATGGTAAGTGCATATTGCTTTTGTAGTGCTAAATGTATACCATGTTTTCCTTTTTATGTTTTTTAGTTTTTTTAAATGTATTTCATTGAGATTATGTATTTTTGTTTGCCTATATTGTAGAATTGGTGCTTCTTTGACTTTTAAGTGAAAATATATCGATGTATACATGGGCAAAGTAAAGGGAGTGCACAATGCAAGTTTGTGCAATTCTTGGATTTTTTTTAAGTGAAAATAGGTCGATGTGTACATGGATGAAGTTAAAAGAGTCTGTAATGCCATTTTTGTGCAATTTGGGGATTTTTTTTAAAGTGAAAATAGGTCGATGTGTACATGGATAAAGTCAAAGGAGTGCGCAATGCCACTTTTGTGCAATTCGGGGTTTTTTTTTAAGTGAAAATAAGTCGATGTGTACATGGATACCCAGTTTGTGGAATTGTTTGTCTTGTTATTTTGGCTTTGTGTAGCGGCGATTTTTGGCGCAAAAATCGCCTCTTCGCAAGCCAAAATAATGAGTCAAAGAATTGCACAAAATCTGTATCAATGTACCGCCAAAAATCGCCAAGGGGTACCCTAAACTATACTTTTACCAATTATTCATGTTTTGGCAATGTCTAATTAAAAAAAAGGCCAGATAATGAAATCTAATTTTTAATGTGGTCCCTCTTATACTTGTTTTTGAAAACGTTTTGCACTCGTTATGAAAAAATCAAATTGTGAGAAGTTTTGACTCCCATACAAGAAAAGTTGACCAGAATATTTAACTTCAGAATTTGAAATTTTTTGTCATTTTCAGCTAGCTTTGAGGGTCTGTTAAGTTAGAATAATTCAAGACAACAAGTTTAAATGTGAAAGTGCAGCCAAAAAAAAAAAAGTGTATTCTGAAGATTCTTACAGTGTAACTGTAAACTTAAGAATAATTATATTTGAATGCCTCTTAAAAAGTCATTTAGATTTTGAAAATGTTGTCTGAAGGAATTTAGATTATCATTTTCTTACAGTATTTCAGTCTTTGACCAAGCAATAAAATACTTAACAGTAATTATCACCTGAAACATGTGTAATTTTTAATATGACATTTGAACATAGTACAATTATTGTATATTTCTTTCTTAGCATGATATTGAAAAATTAGATCCTCGAGGTAGAACTCCTTTACTGCTGTCAGTTACTTTGGGTCGTTTGGAATGTACAAGACTCCTATTAAAAGCAAATGCTAATGTTAATGTTGAAAGTAAAGAAGGGTTTTCAGGTATGTTTCTTTTTTTTATTATTATTGTTATTCATACTTTGTAGAAGAACACATAAATAAGTCTTCAGTTTCCAGCCATTCCCATGTTTGCAGCTAAGTATCTATTCTTCATGAATTTTTTCACTCTCTCTCTCTCCCCCTAAATCCCTTTAATAGGGCAGCATGTGCCAGACAGCTTTCTGCAGAAAGTATGTGTGTCAAAATTGCTCACATACTTTCTGCAATTGCAATAACAATGACCAATTGCCTATTGGTCACTGTTAAATAAATAAGTTGCTCCTACCTCTTATAAAAATATTTTTGTTTTAGAAATAAGTATTGTCAGTAAGAAGTCTTTAAGTATATCATTCTATTTTGTTCTGTATTGATTGAATCTAACCTTACAAAGTATTTCAGTACAAAAAAATCACCCAACCATTGTTGACGCCAATGATGCCAAAAATAATTATGGTAACCTTAATGCAAGGAACAAAGCATAATTATAAATAACTACCATAATTTCCGGAAGAAAGACCGTTTCTGCATAAACACCGCACTCAAGAAAAATGGTGCAAATTAAAATTACGCAGAAATGCTGCATCGACGTAAACGCCTCAATAGATTAAATCGTGCATGACATCGCCTTGGATCGTATAGACATAAAATCTTGACCTATGTCCTAATATATGTGGGGAAAGACAACGACCATAGTTGATAACACACATTTATTACTATTCACAAACATAGATTATATTAGGATTACAATTAATGAAATAATATACGAGCGATCGAGCGACGTCTGCTCCGCTCGCCAGTTAATCCTCGTCTTCTTTCTAAGGCGGAAAACACATGCTGACACAATGCATACGTCACACAGTAGGGAATTAGGAAATATCATGACATAATATATCCCACATATATGATATAACAGTTAAGAAAAATGTATGACATGAAACCATAACTCAAAAATAAATTAAAAATAAGAAAGGTTGAAGAGGCCCGGTAGTGCAGTGGCTAGTGCGTCTCGCAGCAGCACCACTGGTCCGGTCTTCGAGCCCCGTGCTGAGCAAGGTCGACTCAGCCTTTCAACCCTTGGGTTGATAAAATGAGTACCAAGTTCACTTGGGGACTAAACATGGGGGGTCCTGCCACAAGCTGACCACTTGTTCAGGGCATATGCTTACATTCCATGGGGCCCACGGTCAAGAAAGCAGATTTCAGGGCATTGCAGGCCTTGGACCATTAGGGCTGTTTGTGCCACTGAGTTTGGTTTTTAAGAAATGTTGAAAATATATTTACGTTCACAAATATACTTATTTTTACCCATTAACCCTTTGCGGCATGGTGGGTCAATATATGTCCCACCTAATTAATATTTATTTTCTCAGTTAGCAATTTCCGTTAGAAATTTTCTAATCTTTTAAAAATAATCTATTTTAGTTATTATTTCTCAGTAGATGTCACTACTATACCAGGGCTTCAGTTTATAAGCAAAAATATTCAAAATAGGATCACGAAAGTGATATCCATGTATCTCGCATTTTACAATATTTAAACATTTGGTATACAATTTAGGATATGCATGATTCTTTTTAATATCAAAGGTATTTATTTTCAAAAATCTTAATTGGATTCAATATTTTATAACATTAATTTTGCAGTGAAATAAGTGGGTTAAAATTTGTCCCACACACACTTGAATTTCCACTCAATAGATGGCAGCACTCACGATTATTTTTCTTTTCTTTTTGCATCTACTTTTTTCGTGATTGCGCGCGCGTTTTACATCCGTTGTATGCTCTGATGTGCTAAAATGTCTAGAAAAAAAATTAACAAACACAGGAAGCTTTGGATCTTTTTTTTGTTGAATTGCCATCCGATTGCGACTCAAATGCTTCAGATGTCAGTTCTGATTCAGATGAAATTGAAATCCAAGAGAGAATAAATGAGGTTGAAGTTATGCTGAAGAAGAAAGGGAAAGTAGTTATAATTTGTTTCGCTTTTTAAAGACACAGACCATCTATGCGTGTGGCTGCCATCTATGCATGTGGCACTGTAAATATGAATCGGAAGTATTACCACAAATTTATGTCAAGAAAATAGATAGACTTTTCAGTTAGAGATGATTCAATTTATTGCATAAAAATGGAAGGATAAAAGATCCGTTTCTATCCTGTCTTGCTTGGAAAAGGCAACTCAAATGAAAGAAATTATAGAAAAGAACGAGATGGAAAGAACAATAACAACAACAACAACAAAAAAAGTACTGTGTCCCAAACAGCATTATTTCATACAATAAGAATATGGAATATGTCGACTGATTTGATCAACTGAAAGGACTTATATGAAATAGACCGCAAAAGCAAGAAATGATGGCACATGGATTTTTTTTTTTTTTTTTTTTACATTTTAGCGAGTAGAGTATAGTAAACGCATTTATTCTATTTAAGTTTGTTCGCGAACCCGATCATGTTGTAAAAACACAATGAAAGATTTTAGTCTCTCAGTTATAGAAGGTCTAATGGCATTTGCAGGCAAGAAAGAGCTGAAAAGAAAAGAACTGAAATCCCCAGTTCAAATAAAAACTAAAAAACCATTCGTACAACCAGAAAAGAGAGACTAAAAAATGTAAGTTACATGCACCAAAGTGAACGAGAAGGAGCAGCAGAAAATGTGCATATTGCAGCACATCGAAAGAAGAACGACCGAACATTTTGGATGTGTGAAACATGTGAAGTGCCTCCATACTTACAAAAGAATGAAACAACATGTTTTTCAAAGTTTTATGAAAAATGACTTTTTTCAGTTTTTAATCATATATAAATGTTTTTGAATCAAGTGCCAATTTCAATATTTTATTTAGTATCATTTGTACGTGTATCAAATTTTAATCTTAAAATAATTTTCAAGAAAATATTTTCTTTTGTTCTTAAAATTTAAAAAAATATTAAATATATGCAAAATGTGCATATTCAAAATTTTACAAGTCATGCATATATGCAATAAGTACAAAATGCATTTTAGTGTGTTTATTATGAATATATTAGAATGCACGCTTTATTTTGTTTATTCATTCCACATATGATTTTTTTCCCTGCTATACACCAATATGCTATAAGACATGTGCTAGTTGCATGGTGGGACAAATGGTATCCCACCTTCCCCCGTAAAAAATAAAAGCGCAGAATTTTTTTCAAGCCTTAAAGGCACTTAAGTAAGTCCATCTGACTTATTCTAAGGCATTTTTTTAAAGATTAAAATATATTTTAAATATGCGTGTCGCAAAGGGTTAAAGAAGTCCATATTTGTCACACTCGTACTATTCTATAAAAAAAGTTGCAACAACGAGATATTAATTTTGGATGACAAAAGAAAATTTTAAATTTTACTTACAAAGAAATTACAGCCAATGAAAGCCATCAAAATCTGATTCCTCACTATCTAAATTAAAAAGATTTAGTAAATCCCGAAGTAAGTCCAAGTCTTCCAGATCGTCACACTCATCCTCTTGGTTTGCAGTCTTTATTTGAGGATATACTTTCACCTTCTTTGAATGCTGCTATTATTGACAATGTTTTCACTGATTTCCATGCACTTCCTATCCACTTTCCAACTTCTTTATAACATGCTCTGTGTATTTTGCCACTTTTGGTATATGCAGTACAAAGTCCATAATCCGGGCGTACATTAGCCGGAATGATCTATAATCCGGACCTCAAAGCCACAAACTTACGCATGCGCGTTTGATGTGCATACCCGTTATTCATGCGTGTAAAGCCAGTAACGCCATGCACGCTTCCGATAGTGAAGAAAGTAACAGAGAACATTATTGAAAACGAAAAAATTTCGATTGACAAGTTAGTCGGTATTCTCGACACAGCAATTACAAGACTTGAACAGTGGAACTTTGTAACTGAACAAGAAATTATGTCTGTTTATAGAATTAAAGAGAAAGTATTAGCACAAAAAACGAAGCAACTTGAACTGATAGAAATCTTTACTAAAGTAAACAAATAAATATTAAACTTTTTTTTTTTTTTTTTTTTTTGTAAATTTTGATACTCTTTAAATCATAATTGCTCTTATTTCATAAATTATGGTTTCATATTTTTAATTGTATAATTTCTGATGCCATCTTACTAGATTTAAATTGATGATCTATAATCCAGAAAAACCCCTAATCCGGAATCACCGAAGTCCTGACGAGTCCAGATTACGGAGTTTGTACTGTATATGTATGCAATCCTTCACTCATCCAACACTCCCACCGCTTTCGGACTTCAGCTTTGAAAGATTTATTACTTGACAAATCTAATGGTTGTCAAACCACCAGGAATTATTGCTACCGTCGTAAACAGTTTTTGACATCTGGTTTGCACTGACTCAAGTAAATGAGCACATATGGAAACCAATATCAGTAACCCTTTTGGTTGGAAAAAAGATTCCTTATGACCCTGCCAAGCATTTTGTAGCCACTCATGCATGACTGTTTCGCACATCCATCCATTCTTGTTTGCACAAATAATTACATCATTAGGAAAATCTCCCTTCAGAATGGTTTTTCTGTTAAAAATGATCATTGGCTGTAGCTTGTCACCGTTTGTGGCACAAGCTTACACACATGTAAATGATGTTCTTTCATGACCCGTCGTAAGCACAGATACAGAAATTGTAAGCTTTGACATAAGAGCAATTAAGAACCCCATTTGATATTATAGAATGTGAAGCTTCTGGCATAATGTTCAAGGCATATACGCAGTCTGGATTTGGTTTGTTGAAATAGAAGAAAAAAGGGAAATCATAGTCAGATAATAATAACTGAAGTACATTAGAAAACTAGAATGCAAGCTTCTTAATATTATATAATTTTTCTAATTACTGCCCCTTGTTTTTTAGTTCTTCATGAGGCAATAAGCACAGGAGATCCAGAATTAATACAAGAAATTTTAGAAAGGCGAGATTACCAAAGATATAGCAGTCGTGTAGGAGGCATACCAGAGCTTTTGAAAAGAATACGTGATGTAAGTAATTATGTTACAATGCACAATATAATTAAAGTATGAAATCTGCATGCATATAAAAGAATTTCAAATCTTGCATGGAATATTTAAAACGTATAAAAACTATGTTAATAATTGTCTTTTAGACACCTGATTTTTATGTTGAAATGAAGTGGGAATTCACAAGTTGGGGTAAGCAATTCTTTTAGGAATATTTAATCTTATTTATTGTGAATTTTATGTATATCTGCACATTATCAGAGTTTTTAAAGTCCTAAACTTTACTAGATCGTAGTCACAAAATTTTTAATGCCATCCCAAAAATTATATTCAAAATGGTGATAATTTGTCCTTAAAATTTATCATGAGAAAACTGTTTTAAAGAATCTTTATTTGAAATGCCTAGCCAAAATGGCAAAAACTGCTTCATGGGTTCCAAGAATTTACTAAACATCCTTCATGAAACTTTATTGAAAGATACTCATTAAGCTTCTGAAGTAAAAAAGTTATTAAGCTTTTGTATAAAGCTTGGATAATTTTGAAGAGTGTAATTTAGCAAATCAGATGTTAAATTTCATCAACTTTTAATGTATTCAAAATGTATTTCATTAATAAGATATGTAAAAATTGACTTACCTTCTAAAGGGCTGTCCTGGAAACTGTCGTTCTTCCTTTCGTAGCCCTTTTAGTATGCTGAAATTCATGCATTGATGAAATCTAATATGTATATTTTTTAGAATTTTATTATTAACATACAAAAGTTTTATACACAATTGATATTTATAATTTAATCAGTACAAGTACTGCCTTTTAGATAAATATGTGGATGTTTTCAGCTAATATTAGATGTGTCACTCATTCAACTGAGTTCTGTTCTTTTTTTTGCCAGAGGGTGTCTGCGGTTGCTGTATTATTTGTAGGGAAATGCGAGTAAATAGATTGATTATGTAGTCCACTGCAGAAGATTTAAGATATCTTAAATACAGTCAAAAGCCTTTAATCCGGATGTCTATAATCGGGAATGATCTATAATCCGGACCTCAAAGCTACAAACTTTCTGCACATGCATAAACGCATAATGCATTTACACATGCACATATGACCTTTACGCATGTGCATATATGTTTACGCATGTGCGTTTAATGTATAACGGACGGTATAAGCAAATCTAAAATTCTCTAATTAGTTAATGTTGCAGATTGCATTGTTCCTTAATCTTCGAATTGGATCCGGCTTATTATTTTTTGCAGACTTTTAGAGCAATTTTATAAAAGTAAGCTTGAACTTTCGATTATGTCAAAAAGAATTTCAGATTCTGGAGCTGCCAAAGGATCTACAAAGTGGACGCATGTTTCGATGTCCATCAAACAAAAAGTGGAATTGCTGCAAAAAATGGATAAAGGCATACTCTTTGATTATGTAATCATTCCAAAATATGTTTATAAATTTCACGCTGCTCTGAGGGTGGGGGTGGGGGGGGATAAAATAAATAAATATTAAGCCTTTTTTTTTTTTTTTTTTTTGTAAATTTTGATACCCTTTAGATCATAATTGCTCTTTATTTCATAAATTATGGTTCATATTTTTAATTTTATAATTTCTGCACGCCATCTTAGCAGATTTAAACTGATGATCTATAATCCGGAAAAACCAATAATCCGGAGTCGCCGAAGTCCTGACGAGTCCGGATTAAAGACTTTTGACTGTAATTGCATGTTGTGTACATGATATTTATGGTGGGTGGCAAGTTTCTTCAATGATAGGGGAAAAGCAGTTGAAAAAAAACAGGTGGAAGAAATAGGTTTCTTCCTTTAAACTGGAAGAAATGGGGAAAACTAATATATGAGTTTATTTTATATTTGTTTTATTATATCTTTATTTTATTCCTGTGTAGGGCAGTTTATATTGCTAAATTTAAATATTTTCATTTTCTGTATAATTTAACTAACATCATTTGCATGTATGCAGTCTATTTTTTGGTAATACAGTCAAAAGTCTTTAATCCGGACTCGTCGGGACTTCGGCGATTCCGGATTATAGATCATCAGTTTAAATCTGGTAAGATGGCATGCAGAAATTATAAAATTAAAAATATGAAACCGTAATTTATAAAATAATGAGCAATTATCATCTAAAGGGTATCAAAATTTACCAAAAAAGAAGCCTAATATTTATTTGTTTACTTTATTAAACATTTCTTTCAACGCGCGGATGCGTAAAGCATACCTTACGCATAGCCGAAATTAGAAAATTGCAACCAGAAAACTATTTGATTTGTATTCGTGGTATTTATAATGACGAGGAATTTGATTGAAATCATATCAAAGACGGAGTACATCGAAATTAAATACTACATTTAGTAAGGAATTATAAGCCGAATAAAATAAAAACATCTGCTCTGAAGATAACGATAGTGTTGACAAATCAACTTCTAGTTCATTGCGCGCAGCGACATCCCCCCCCCCCCGCGCAGAGCAGTGTGAAATTGATAAACAGATTTCGGAACAGTTAGATAAACAAAGGATATGCCTTTATCCATTTTTTGTAGCAATTTGTTTTTTGTTTGATGGGCATCGAAACATGCTTTCACTTTGTAGATCCTTTGGTGAGCTCCAGCAATCGGAAACTCTTTTTGACATAATCGAAAGTTCAAGCTTACTTTTATAAAATTGCTCTTACAGTCTGCAAAAAATAATAAGCCGGATCCAATTCGAAGATTAAGGAACAACGCAATCATCAACATTAACTGAAATAGATAATTAGATAATTTTAGCTTATACCGTCCGTTATACATTAAACGCGCACGCGAAAACGTATTCTGTACTTGCGCAGACGCATATGCGCAGTCGTAAATGTCTTGGGCGCACGCGTAAAATGCCTATGACTTTTGACTGTATCACACATCTCCTTTATTCATGCTACAATGAGATAACTAAAACAGAAGGATTTAAAAGGAATTTGGCAACCTATTGGAGTAATTCTGAGACTGAAGCAAAAATTCTGAGAAACGATATGCACAAATGCTTTGAAATGAAATTAAACATGCTCTTAGTTAGCTAATTCTATATCATGACAGGAATGCAGATTCAAGTGCAAAGACCAATAAACGCTTTTAATAAGAAATTGGTGAAAAGAAGGATCTACTGGATAAAGAAAGGAAGCAAAACTATTGCAGCAGATAAAACATTGATTTATATAACTGTATTTAAAATTATTATTTAAACTTATAAATTTTTAAAAAAAGGGTTCATTTGTAAGATTTTAAATTGTAATGGTAATTTTCTTATTGTGCAAATATCTTTGAGAGAACAAAATTCAATGAAATATCGCATTAATAAATAAATAAAAATTATACCATTTTTTACATAAAATTACTGTGCAGTTTATTGTAGAAATAATAAAACATTTATTTTCATAGAAGTTAGTTTATACTCTTTAGCAGCCAAACGGATTAATCAATGTTCATTTCCTACCCCTTTTTCCCAGTTTCATCTCTTGTCCTGAAAAAGAGACATTCCTTCCGGGGGGGGGGCTCTGATATTTACATGTTTGTTCTCATGTATAATATAGTTTCACCTGTAATTTATCATGGAAAATTGTTTATAAATGTTTCTTTTTGCAGTTCACAATCTATGTTTTGGCCTACAATAAATAACCTACTTACTTGACAAGTTTTATTTGTTCTTAAGTGTATCATTATGTATGAATGATGTGCATGAAAGTAAGACCTGAGTGAAAAGTTGAATTTCTTGTATATTTCTTTGTGAAAATTTGTAATTTTGGCATAAAAAAGAATAAACAAATACTGATATATGAAAGATAATATGATCCTTCAGTTTTAATTATCTTTATTGTTAAATATATAATTTAGTATTAATATTTTTATAAAAAAAAAGCTTTAAATTTATTTCTTTTAGTGCCTTTAGTATCTAGGATGTGTCCTAGTGATACTTACAAAGTTTATAAATCAGGTAAGCTGCAAATATTGCGTATTTTATATTGTTAATTTTCACTGTTTTATTTGTGCCTTTAGTACTTCATTAGACATTTCAAATTTAGGTTCTAATGTTAGAATTGATACAACATTGCTTGGTTTTGATCAGTCAAATTGGCAAAGAGGAAGTAGGAGTTATGTATTTAAAGGCCAAGGTGAGTCTTGCAATGAAGTTATTTTATAGTTACACGTATAATTATGTTATTACATTTCACAAGTGTGATTTCTGCTTTTATGATACACTGTGCATGGAAAATGTCTGTATTATAGCTTTCTGCTTTTTACTACAGTTTTGTGATTTAATTTTGGCACTTGGTTATACTTAGTTATTATTTAATGCTTTCTTTCATGTCTTGAAGCAATTTTGAGATTGGTTGGTTTGGTAATGAAATAATTAGTACTTTTGGCAGTGAAGAAATTTTGAGACTAGTAGTTTCGGTAAATGTTTACTTTGTTTGAATTTTGTAGTTTTATTATTTTTTAACTTTATATTAAGTATTTTTGTATTGAACAAAAGTAGAAAATTTTAATTAAAATAAAGTTTGGATCAATCACTCAAGAAAATTATTGCCTAGTAAGTTTTTTTTTTTTTTTTTTATTGACTTGTTAGATTCTTGATTAGGAAGCAATAAAAAGTCATTTTTCTGCCCTTTCTTTTTCCCTATGTTAAAATCAAATTTATTAATGTAACATAATATAGACATTTTTTATACCTCCCTTTTAAACACAAATATTAATTTTGATCTACTCTGAATTATTACTATCTGTTTAATATCTGAGATTAAAAAAAGGGAAGGAAGAATTCCCTGGTTACATGCATTTCTAACACAAAATTATAAGCAGGAACAAAGACAGAAGACTGGCAGAAGAAAACAAACCAAAAATGCACTTAATATGATGTGTACTAGAAATGCCAAACAATGAAACATTCAGGAGTGATACTGATATGCATCCTGGGTGGAGAGAGGCCTAAATGCAAATTTTTTTTAAGTTGGAAAGTAACAAGATCATAAATGAGTAGATAGAAAGGTGCTTGGAACATTTCCTTTTGTAGGTAAAGGGCTAAGCCAAAGTATTATGTGCGACTTTGGTATGAAAAGAAAAATGAACGATTCAAGCTAAATTTTTCAGATCTGCAGATCGTTTTCAAATAAAGCTGGTCTCTTGTGCTTAAGAGGCCTATATCATTTATTACTTAACCTTTAACCCTTTGATGTGCACGATATTATTTTTATAATTTTTTTGACTAAAAACTCTAGAAATTGAATATTATGATCCTAGATACAAATAATATAAGAATTTAAAATAATCTTTCCCATTGTTTTGTAGGTATTGGAGGTCATTTTGTGAAACCACCGCATGTTTAGGACTTTGAAACTTACCTAGGTAGTAAGGAAAAAAAAAAACTTACCTTTCTCCGTGCGCATTTCCAATAAATGGCGAAATTTATGAATTTAAACAAAAATGCATGTAGGAATGGCATAATATATATATATTTTACATTATTTTACATATCGTCAGAAAAAATTTTAAAATGAAAATTTATGTAATTATTTTTTTAGCAGTGAAAGTATAAGTACGTACATATTAAGGACATTTGGCTACATAGATTAAAGAAACTCTGTAAAATAAGAATAAAAACAAAGACTCTTTTTTTTTTTTTTAATTTCAAAGAACAAATATTTTTTGTGACACTGTTCAAAGCATGTTTTGTCTTTTTGGTACATGCATAGACCCATATTGCACGTTTCACACATGTATCTACTTCTATGAGGTTTCTTCCTTCTGCTACAAAATTGTACACTGCCTTGGATCTAAACTTCACTGGTATATGTCCAGCATTATTTAGCTTCTTTTCATCTGGCCACATGAAAAAGTGGGTTTTTTTTTTTTTTTTTTTTTAATGTTAATGGGGGGGGAGGCTTGGTCTTTTTGGCTTTGGTACGAATCATTCGTTTCCCATTCATACTAATATTATTTGTATTTCGTTCCAAAGTATTCAGAAAATATTTTAAATTTAAATAAAATTTTACGCGATTTCTATTTTTAATTACAGCAAAGTATATTTACATTAAATTTAAACCACAAGAAGTAATTTATAAAATCACAATACTAGTTTGGGGAGCAAGTGTGTTGAGGTCAGAGAAAAGTCTCTGGAAAAGAAAGACCTTTTTACTGGGCAGGTGTATGTATTGTTTAGTAATAAAATAACTCTGTGGTTTCAATAATCCCCTTATTTATATCCAGGGTAAAAATAAACGTTCCTATTTGAGAAGCAAGCAAATGCCATTGTGAAGAGCAGTGGTTTGAAGGCGTGACCACCGAGCCGCTTTTAGAGCATTGTGACGCGATGCTCTAGCGGTGCAGTGTGTCGTGCCGTGAAACCACAAAGCAAATGCCATACATATAGAGGGGTTTTTTTTTATATATGCAGTTTAATTATTGCTATTTTGTATTGTTTATTGATAGAAATCATGGATGTGCGATGAATAACTTTTTGAAATTTTAAAGTTGTTCATACTTGATCAAAAAGAAGTTATTTTGTCTCATTGAAAACAAATTTTAAAAGGCATCCGATTTGAAGTGCTAAGACTTAAAACATGTATGATTCTGCAGTCATTTTATGTTATTTAGGGGTAAAAGATCAGTAATCAATTGACTTTCACTCAAAAATTTCGGAAGGAAGAGGAGAAAAAATTCGAAAATTGGTGGTTTCAGGGCGTGACCACCATGCGTTAAAGGGTTAACAGACAAGAAAGAAGTTTTACATAAATGAAACTTGTGTATAGGAAAATAAATATAACTTTACTTCTTATTTGCAGTTAATATGCATTTTTTTAATTGTCTGTCCATCTTGTTCATTTTGCCAGTGAAAAATGAGTTACGGAATTCTAATGAGGTAAACATTTACCATATTTTATGCATTTATTTGATTATAACTTGTTCCTAACTGAATTTTTCCATTTAAATCTTAGATTACCAATTTTTGAAAGCTATCAGGTGTGACCGCAGCTACATCTTTTCACTTGATCTCAGTGCTAGTGGTAATTAAGATCTTAAATTTTGACCCTAAAAAATGCAGAATTGCTAGCTCTTTGCTTTGCAGAAATATGTGATAGTATGTAGCTGAAAATAGTGTTAGAAAGCATATGATTAAAAATGCTTTTGCAGCTGAAAAGAATGTACTCCCAATTTTACAATTTATTTAATATTTAGCATTAATTTGCAAAAATTTTAAAAGCTTGAATTGCTTCTCAGTTGCTTTATTTTTTGTAAACTTCAAATTTTTCTTGGTGGCCAGATTGATATAGTTAACTTTTACTCCTGAATATGATCCTTATAGAAAAAAATTCATGATTTTGGCCAGTACTATGTGATTGTTTTATTTATATTTGTGATATATATTTATATTATACCTCAAGTTTTTGAAAATGAGCTTTTGTATCTAGAAAATAATTTATAGACATTTTAGAAGATATATTTTTCCAGGAATGAAAAGATGTTAGCATCCGAGTTTTATTTCTTCTGTTGTTAAAAAAATGAAGATAATTTGCTTTGGATATTGTGTATATGAATTAAAATGAGATTGTACTTACTGAAAACATGTGCATATGTATTTTATGCATTTGCTCAATGTTTATTAATGAAAATAGTTCTGTATTTTTCCAAATTTTATGAAGAACAATATTTATAGCAGTGAGGAATATTACTTTAATTAAGTTCATAGAAGTAAGATATAAAAGAACAGCATATTTAGATGCAGAATAAAAGCATCCAGAAACTTTAACAAATTTGAACTTCAATTTACTGCCATTAAAAATCAGAGTTTGTGCAATCCTTAATAGTCATTCCGAGGCCTTAGACTTTTTTTTTTTTTTTTTTTTGAAACAATTTCTGGTCTTTAACAGTTCTGAATATTGGCAAAAAATTACAAATGGTCCTTAAATTTTTGTCATCTGACATTTCCATCTCTTTTTTTTTGTGATTACCATTTGAAATACGAATTGGCATTTGGGATGAATATTCAAACCATGCAGTTGATACAAAGCAATCACAAATTATTGTAAACAACGGAAAACAATCAAGCACCCCTAAAATAAAGTTTTGAGATTTCTGATTAATTATTTGTGTAGTTTTTCAGAATGGTTTGTCTACAAAAGTACCATCATCATTAAAGTGAAGAAAGAGTTTTTTGAACTTTGATTTTAACTTTATGGCCATGCTTTGACATACTTTGATGAAAATGTGACCTTCAAGAAAATCAGAGTTTGAACTTTATAAATGCTGCATATCCATCCAGTATTGTCAGTAAATTCAGAAATTCTTTTAGGGTATTTACAAAAGAGGTAAATTTAGAAAATGGGAGAGGTATTCTAAAAAAATATGCTGGAATTATAATAATCTATATCTTAAGACAGTCATCTATTTGAAAGTTCATCTGCCTTTGCTCCAGTACTGCTAAAAACAATGGTAACCACCTAGAGTAGTGGTTTCTAAACTTTTTTACTCTTAAAACTTTTTTCAGAATTAACTCTTCTAACAGAGCCCCTTAATTTATCTTAGAGCTTAAAATTAATGCTGTTTAAGACTAGTATTATGGGGTTAAGTAAAAGATACAGATAGTAATATAAAGCAAAGAGATATCTGAACATTTGTACCATATCCATAAGACGAAATAATGTACTTAATTTCTTTTATTTATTGTAATATCTAAATTTATTCTCAGTGTGATGTTATTAAAAGTGAGCCATTCAAAATTTTAATGAATCAAATCAATTTCTGTTACCATAGATATTTTGCTTATTGCTGAGAGCATCACTAAAATCATTGGGATAAATTTGCTTAATTCAAATTAATCATTTTATGCAATTAAATGCAGATAAATGTTTGATTATTAACTTATTTTAAATTTTTATTACACATTATAGAAGAAAAGTAAAAATTTAATTTTACTGTAATGCAGCTATTGTGTACTATAGGACGCCATTACGACATAAAATCTTTTAAAAAATGCCTTAAGGTTTAGCCTTTTAATGCTTGTCAGCGAGCTCAGTTTACATTCTACTTACATACCGCAGTGGGCACAAACAAACAGCTCATATTACGAATTTACGACTGACAGATATTGCGCATATTTGGAAAGAAAGAAATACTTAATCCCTCAACCACGTTAGGGTTAATAAGACACCTGTAATTGCATTTTATACACAGTTTTCTGATTTTAAGCTCCATTGTTGATAAATGCAGGTGAATGAATTTTGTATATTATTATGGAAGCTGTATAGATGGAGAAGCCTGCTTTAGAGAAACAGCAGCACCAATTTTGCTTTCTCAGGCTGGATTTTAAATTCATCTTGTGTGCAGTTAAAACTCTGGTAGACCTTTTGTTTTGAAATAAGAATTTTAGTTTGCTGTGGGATGTTGAGACCTCATGTTGTGTTGTTAAGCGGACATGCAATATCTCGACTGGGGAAATGCAATTATTTTGAAACAAAGGTTATTCGGGTATAATTTTCCTCAAACAAAACTTACACACTTGAATTTTTTTTTTTTTTTTTTTTTTTTTTTTTTTTTGATTTAAATTACTCAGATTGTAGATTATGTAGAAAACATAAAATGTAAATTAAATGCCTAATTTTTTTAAAAAAACCAATTTTTAATTTCAGTTACCTTTGACGAATCTCTTGTGACAGTGTGTTAATTTAATACCCTTTTTTTTTTTACTTCCTTGTACGAAGTAAAAAGGAAGTATTGTAATCGCGAAAAGTTTCAGGCAACATATTTCAACGAAAATATCCATTTTGACCGCTATCGAATGCAATTTAACGATGTTTTTGCGTGATATCTGTGTGTAAGGACAGAATAAAAGATACCTTTCCTCCAAAAAAATTATAATACTGCTTTAAAATTAATTCTGAAGAGAGTTTTTCGTAGCGTCTGTACGAACGTATGTATCTCGCATAACTCAAAAACGAGTAGCCTCAGAACGTTGAAATTTTGTATATAGGACTGCTATAATATGTAGATGTGTACCTCGTATTTTGGTTGCAATCGGCCGCACCAAACGTATATAAATATATTTATATATATATTCACTCTGTTACCCGGCTCCGTGATCTCAGTTTCTTTACTCTTAGATGTTTGTAAATTGTAAATTTTTTGCTTTAAAAATGATTGAATTATGTTGTTTTTATCTTCCGGTTAAGGTTTTTATGCCTTTAGTAAATCTGTATGCAATATTTTTACAATTATCAACAATTTAAAAGCTGTTTAAGTGCGGTTAAGTTTTAAATAACATGGCGGACATATTTGTGCACATTTGAAACAGCAGAATTGTAGATTTGTTGCCAATCTAGAGAGACTAAGCTTCGCAACACAAAAATAATGCCTTCATTTATTATTGCGAATTAAATCATGCTTAATCCTTTCTGGAATTTTTTCGAGGAATAAGTGTTTAAGATTTACTTCGTAATTTTTAATGCAGATATTTTGAGTTTTTATGTATTTTTGCCTTGTCGCGAAGTGAGAGCTGAATTAATTGAATGAGACTAAATCCTCTGTGAAAAACTGTTTCTTTTCTGTTTTGTTTGCTTATTTCTTTCATACATCGTTTTAGCTTTATTATAGTATTGAATAGAACATGTGGCAATGATAATTCTTCAAATGATATAAATTGTGCATTCAGAGTGTCGTTACAGTAAGCAAATATAGTGAATTTTAAAGAGTGCATTTATTCTATTGTGGTTTATGTGCTGTTGACGAAGTAGATTTAATTCAATCCAATCAATTTAAATGAAATTCAAGAAAAAATGCGTATAATTTAATATTCCGTACAAGGAAGTCATGTGGTGTACACATCAGATTTTTTTTTTTTTTTTTTTAATACTGCACCAAACTTCTTCAAATGTTGCATGATATGCCATTTAAGAATAAATAAGCAGTATTTTACTTAAAAAGAAAAAATATTGAAAATGAATTGGTAAAATATTTGAAAAATCATATAGTATTAAATTTTTAGTATATCCAATACAAATGATCGTAAATTTTATATCCTGCATAGTTTTAAACAAATAGATAAGATAAACAACTGTGAAAAATTTAAACTTTCCAGGTTGAATAGTTTCCCAAAAATGGTGTGTTGAAAATTTCAATATACAGTCAAAAGTCTTTAATCCGGACTCGTTGGGACTTCAGCGATTCCGGATTAACGATTTTTCTGGATTATAGATCATCAGTTTAAATCTGATAAGATGGCATGCAGAAATTATAAAATTAAAAATATGAAACCGTAATTTATGAAATGAAGAGCAATTATGATCTAAAGGGTATCAAAATTTAAAAAAAAAAAAAAAAAAAAAAAAAGCTTAATATTTATTTGTTTATTTTATTAAACATTTCTTTCAACGCGCGCATGCGTAAAGCATACATTATGCATAGTCGAAATTGGAAAATTGCAGCCAGAAAACTATTTGATGTGTACTCGTGATATTTATAATGACAAGGAATTTGATTTAAATCATATCAAAGACTGAGTACATGGAGATGAAATACTACATTCAGTAAGGAATTATAAGCCGAATAAAATAAATCTGCCCCTGATGATGAGGATAGTGCTGACAGATCAACTTCCAGCTAATTGTGCGCCACGACGTCCCCCCCCCTCCCGTAGAACAGCGGGAAATTGATAAACAGATTTCAGAATGGTTAGAGAAACAAAGGATATGCTTTTATCCATTTTTTTGCACCAATTCCAATTATTATTTGATGGACATCGAAACATGCTTTCGCTTTGTAGATTCTTTGGCAGCTCCAGAATTGGAAATCTTTTTGACATAATCAAAAGTACAAGCTTACTTTTATAAAATTGCTCTAACAGTCTGCAAAAAATAATAAGCTGGATCTAATTAGAAGATTAAGGAACGACGCAATCTGCAACATTAACCGAAATTTATAAATAATAATAATAACTTTAGCTTAAATTTATAAATAATAATAATAACTTTAGCTTAAATTTATAAATAATAATAATAATTAGAAATAGATAATTTTAGCTTAGCTTATACCAACCGTTATACATTACATGCACATGCGTGAATGCATGCGCAGAAAGTTTGTAGCTTTGAGGTCCGGATTAAAGACTTTTGACTGTATTTCATTGTAGATAAGCCTTAATATTTAGCCAAAAGGGGCGATTTGCCCTGAAGAGCTGTTAATTTCGTTTTCGCATTTTGTGTTGGTTCACTATAAGTGGCATTTCGCTTTTCAAATTATTGCCACCAAATATTAGAGCCCTACATTATATTTAAGGACATTGAATAATGAAAAATCTGTATGAATGTATGTATGTATCTTATACTGCAAAAAAAAAAAAAAAATGGTACTTAGAGACATCAAATTTTGAATAATATAGTCCTCCACTGGAATATGAAAGTCCATCTGGAAGTCCAAATTTGGAATTTGGTTTATAATCTATTTCATATTTTGTAAACCTTAACGATTTTTTTATTAACAAGCTCTACGATTTCAAAGCGAGCAAAGGTAAATGAAATACGGAAGAAAAAATAAATTTTATCTCTAGCGTGCAAGCCTTTGTATCAGAAATTCTAAAGATATGCTGTTTTTAAATTATTTTGTGATATTGCTGTTGAATTTTATGGTCTAAGAGCGAAAAACATGATATTTAGTAAATAAAGGTAACACATATAATGTTAAAAACATGCCCCTTTAGCCATAATATAAAATCTGAAAGCTTTCAAAATATATATATATATATATATATATAATTTTGTTTTTTTTATGGGTGGGTCTGTAATTTCCATTCAAGAGATACGTATGAACCATAAAAATTTGCATTCATTCAAGGTTAAGTAATGCTAAATTTTCTACGAAGTACAAGCAGTTTCTTTCTTTATTTAAAAACAGTTAATACTCAGTATCCGCAAATCTCTGTTAGTTATACATGCAGTCCTGGAGCATCTAGTAGTCGCTTACTTTTACAAAGTTAATACTCAGTATCTTAGAGCATCTATTCATTAATTTTGGTTTGTTTCACAATTGTAGATAAAAGAATAATGCATGCGAAGTTTAATAAATATAAAAATTGCATATGTAATATACCTTTATTTCCAGTATAATCAATTTGCCCATTGCTTCAGTTTTTTTTTTATTATTATTATTTATTTATTTATTTATTTATTTTTTTTAGTTTGAGTTGACACCATTGAATGTTGAAATCAATTTAAGTGGGTTAAATCAATCTGATTTTCAATTTATGGTTAAACATCTGTGTGTTTTTAAAATGTGTATTATCATCTTAGTGTGACGTTTTTATAATATGCAAGTTTCCTGTTATAGAGGATAGTGCTACTATGATGGAAATTGATCATGAATCTGGTCAAGTTTATGTAGAGCAGATGAGAGTACTTTCACCTCAATTGGACGACATGCATGCCTTCCGTCCATCAACAGAATCAGTGTCAGCTCGCCTTACAACACCCATTGTCACTACATTTGTTGACACTGATAAGATAAATTTTGAAAGGTACAAAGTATGATTTTTCACAATTTTATTAATCTCACTACTTTTCTAACTTCTTTAATGAGTTGTTTCTCTTTATGTTACAGAAATAAAAGTGGTATATGGGGTTGGAGAAGTGATAGAAATGAAATTATTAATGGGCATGAAAGTAAAGTGAGTTTAAAAAATTAAATATTTTGAATTAAACTTTAAATTGTTTTATGTGTCTCTTTATCTTGTATTATCACGTTTGACTAAGTTTTATATTTGAACACAAAATATAATACATGATTCGGACTGGAAGAAAGTTCCTTTATGTCTACTGTTACTTCTTATGGTATCAAATACAGTAGATTTTAATTCTTTTTGGAAATTGCAATGAAAAACTGGATTTCAAATGCCTAAATCCTATAAATATAAAAAGATAGTTACAAAATATACTTTGCAAAGCAAAGGTACAAAAATAATATTCATGTAGTCTAATGTTATGGTTATATGTATAGTAATTATTTATTAACTTTTTGGCTAAATTTCTTACAAATATGCAGTATGCATGTGTGTAAGGAATACAAAAATGTCATTTTTAATAAAGACGATTAGTTCTTGAAGAAGTAGAAACCACAGGAAAAAAAACTTGAGCTATTTCTTAAATAACTAACCCTAGATTTGGGTTTTGTGTAATTTAATACAAAACATCTAAACTCTTTAATTTTAATCAAACTGTCAATTCCTCTATACAAAAAAAGCTGTGTGATGCTTTCTGTTTGGCAAATAACTACATTAAAGTAATTATAATAATAAAAAAATGAATAAAAGAGGAGAGAAAAAGAAACTGCTTCATGTGTTTGCGTTGGAAAGTTAACAACAGGAATCATATAGGATCAGAAATTCGAAGAAAAAAATAATTTGGAAGATGAGTAGCTTTGCACACACTTTTTTTTAAAAGAACTAAAGTTGTGGTTAAGCAAAGGTTCAATCTTTACTTTCAGTTGCCTCTGAAATTTAGCAGTGATCATGAGAGATAAAAACATTTTTGTTTTCTTCAGTAAAACCTTTTTAAAAATTGTGTTTGATATCATCCAAACAGATGGAATTTAGTGAAAATATATACAGTGGATGGACAAAAATATGGAAACACTTTGTGAAATGCATGTTTGAAAAGAAAGATTGATTTTAATGAAATATGTAGGTGGCGCTGGCGTTTTTGACTACTGACGCCACCTATACAACTTCGTAAATGTGCTAAACAGTTCAGTTGTTGTCGGAGTACTGTTATGTGAGGTTGTCATTGCATTATGTCAGAGTTAACAGACTTCGAACGTGGGCAAATTGTTGGAGCACGTATGGTAGGTGCTTCCGTAAGCAAGGTAGCCGAGGTGTTTAGTGTTTCAAGAGGTACTGTATCGAAGATTTATTCCGCATATTTGAAAAGCGGAAAAACATCATCTGCTAAATCACAGCGCGGACGAAAGTGTGTCCTGAGTGATCGTGACAGACGATCATTAAGGGCAATTGTGACGAAAAATAAGAAGACCACAGCTGCAAAAGTTACTGCTGAAATGAATGTTGTGTTACCGAACCCTGTGAGTACCAAAACAATTAGAAGGGAGCTTCATAAACAGGGAATTGCTGGCCGTGCTGCAATTGAGAAGCCACTCATCAGTGATGCTAATGCCCGTAACAGGAAAAGGTGGTGTTTTAAGTCATAAAGCCTGGACTATAGAGCAGTGGAAGCGAGTAATATGGTCTGACGAGTCTTCTTTCACATTGTTTCCCACTTCTGGCCGAGTTTACGTCTGGAGAACGCCATCTCAAGCCTATAATACAGACTGCTTGTTGCCAAGAGTGAAACATGGCGGGGGTTCTGTTATGGTTTGGGCAGCCATATCGTGGTTCTCTCTGCTAGCCCCATGATAACTGTGTCAGGGCACATGACTGCCAAGACTTATGTGAACATTTTGGCCGATCAAGTTCATCCCATGGTACAAACTTTGTTCCCCGATGGTGATGGTGTCTTCCAAGACGACAAAGCCCCTGTTCACACAGCTCACATTGTCCAGGACTGATTTTCTGAGCACGAGGATGAGTTGTCCCATCTCCCCTGGCCACCACAGTCACCAGACCTGAATATTATCGAACCTTTGTGGTCTACATTGGAACGGAAAGTGCGTTCTCGTTATCCACCGCCAACATCGTTATCTGAACTTGCCACCGTTTTGCAGGAAGAATGGTATAATATTCCCTTGGCAAATATATACAGGAACTGTATTTATCCATTCCAAGAAGACTGCAAGTTGTTTTGGATGCCAACGGGTTTCCTACACCATATTAAGCAAAGAAACATGTTTTTTTAAAGGTGTTTCCATATTTTTGTCCAACCCCTGTATAAAGTGTATAAGGAACCAAACAAATTATAATATTAGTAACCCCCCCCAATTCTCTAACAAATCAAATGTTGCTTTAAATTCAAATGACCGACCTATGTACCTCTGCCCAGTTCAATGTTCAGTCCTTGTTTTCTATACCCAATGATCTGTCTAAAATGATTTTTTTTATGTGTTGCTACTGATGTTAACTCGTGGAGCACACAAAGAAAATTAAGCTTTTTTTCTTTGACTGCTCAGCATTGATGTTAACTCGCTGAGTACACAGAGGGAAGTAAAATTTTTCAGTTGCACAATGATCTCTTTGTTTTTTCTTGATTACTCTTATTTTTGAAGAATTACTTGTAAATGTAAACATTGATCAGCTGAGTGTGTCCACACCAGGCACATTTTTTTCTTTGCCTTCCTGAATCATATTATCGAAGATGCTGGTGTCACTGCTAATTTGGGAAGTAATAACTAAAGTAGGAAACTCATGGCTTAAAATCTCATAATTCATCTCATAATGTCTTAAAATTAACATAAAAACAGTTCTCAGAATGCAAATTGTAAAATTAGATCAAAATAATAAGGCTTATAATATCTTATTGATTGTTTTATTGTAATCTTTAAAATTCATAATTTTATATACATAAAAGTTTCATCTTACCTCTTTTCCAGAATTAAAGCTTTAAAATTTAGAATTCCAATTTTTAAGTTAGTATTTTTGTTTATTACTATATCTTATAAGCATGTGTATCTTGTAAGCATTTTTGGTTGATAAAACATCAACCAAAAATTTTGAATCCTTTATATATATATATATATATAACCAAGCAATAAGGATTTTTATAAGTTAAGCTATCTGGAGCAAACATGGAAAACTTCATCAATTTAGATCCCAAATACACTTTTGTGCAAAATTAAGAAAATTTGCAGATTTTTTTCTATTTTTACAAAAAGTATTGAAACAAGGGTACATAAATGTATGGATGATGGAACAAGGTGGAGAGTTATTAGCAGATTGAGGCAGGCCAATTACATGTGCAGGTGTCATCTGCAGTTTCAGCGTCATCTGCAGTTTGTGGAAATGGTTTCAAGTTACGGAATTCATATAGACCTGAACATAGTCAAGCAAGATCCACAATAACGATTGAGGATAGTTATTTGTGTTATCAGCTCGGCAACACAGGACTGGTACAGCTTCATTACTCTGATGCGAGCTGTATGCTAACAATATAATACAAGTTTCATGGTCTACAGTTGACTGAAGCTTTCATGAGATAGGGCTGTATGCCAGACCCACTGTTTGCATTCCACACACTGCAGCAAACAAAAGAGCTTGGTGCAGACAACATGCGTATCACACTTTAGCGGATCCATGCTTTTCCCAGATGGGACAAGATTCATCTTTGTTACTGATTCTCAGTGTACCTATATCTGTAGAGAGCCTGGAACATATCTCCCTCATCAAAGAAAAGGATTGTTACGGTAGTGGAGATGTAATGGTTTGGACTGGCACTATGTTGGACGACTGAACACCCTGGCATATATTTGACAAAGGCTTCTTGAATACAACAAACTACAGAGAGGAAATCTTAGAGCACTATGTTCGACTTTTGAGGGGTGAAGTTGGTCCTGGATTTCTGTTAATGAATAACATTATTCGTTCACGTAGAGTTCAGCTGCTCGATGATGACTCAGAGCCTGAGAATATTCGTTGCGTGGATTGGCAAGCCAGATCTGCTGACCCTATAGAGCATGTTTGGGATGCTCCTGGAAGAGCAGTTTCATCTCAGCATACCTGTCAGAACCATCCCGAAGAGGAGTAGGATTATGTCCAGTATGCCGTCTCACTAGGGGATCTGTATAGCTGTGAGAGGAGAGGATCATATTAGACTCATTTTCAGTTTGATATCACAGTATGGATTTTGGACATCTATTCACTCTCAGCTTTGTTGATACATACATCTATACATCTATTCACTCTCAGCTTTGTTTTGTACATAAAATGTCTTTTGAATGGTACATCTCTTTCTCTGTTATAAATGTATATTCATACCAGATTTGTCCATTAGATTTTCAGAAATGAGACATAATATGCAGTTTCTCTTAATTTTGCCTACAAATGTATAAAAAGAGTATATATAGCAAATAAAAAAAAAGTATGAAAAAATTTACACTCTGTAAAGTTGAAAAATGATTAGCTGACCGTGTCCATGTCACATACATTCACTTTCTCTAATATAAGGTACCAGCTATAGTGTAGGGAACCGTAAATTTGTTAAAATACAAAGAATGAATGGTTTTGGTTCCCAAAACCATTTGACCAATGGCACCAAAATATATATGGGCCATTTGACCAAAGGCACCAAAATATATATGGGCAGTGGAATTGGAAATTAAATAAAATGTTTTGACTATGGGAATAGGGAAAAATGGAATAGACTCATTTAGAAAGTCAAGGCTAACAATGGACTGTTGTAGCAATAAAGAAGAACTTGTTTTCCAGCATAGACTTTTAAGAAAAACTGTATTTCATTTGTAAAATGATCTAAATAGTGTTGAAATTATGCAGGATCCTAAGTAGTTTTATAGTTTACGTATTAAGTGAAGTATGTATAGTGTATAATATGAAGGAAATAAGAACTTATGTGTGGGTGGTGTAGTTTATTTTCTTACTCTGTTGCTGACATTAAAGAGTATGTTAATACAGTAAGCTATTTTATGGGTATTTTGATTTTTTGTTTCACAATCCTTATTTATTTTTCAAAGTAAAAATCACTTTCTTGATATGTATTTACTTTTTGTTAATTTTCTGTATTAAATTAAATCTCTCACTCCACCCACCCACCCCCCAAGTAAAATTTGGTTGCATTTGCATTTAAAATTGACTTTTAAGTTTTGCTTGCATCATAAATAAAACTGACATATTTTGAAATAAATAATGGTAATGTAATTTATTATGACATTTGCTGTAATTTATTTGATTATTATGATTCACTCAGGCTATCTCTTATGAGAGGACATAGAAATTCTGTTTACTTTCAAAATGTTTTTCATTCTTTTTACTGTGAGTAATATAATCTGAAATCTGATAAAATTGTATAGGTGTTTAGTGCTAACAATGTGGAGTTAGTGACCAAAACAAGGACAGAACATCTTACCGAAGCAGATAAAATAAGGCATAAATCTTCTCGTTCACCATTGCAGTCTCTGTTAGGTATTGTTGAAGTAGAAGAAAAAGCAGCATCCCCTGTTCTGAATGGTGTAAGTATTACTTCATTACCTAGCATCTAAAAGTTAGTAGCCTCCTTACTCTCCCCAGTATCTTTCCGCAGATTCTTACAATAATTTCTCTTGAAGAATGGAGACTTTTCCTTAAAAGTGTTCTTTTTAACAATTATTTGCAATTTGATAACACAATCTTTAAGCATGTACAGGGAATACCTATGAGCAGAAAATGTTCAACTGCATTTTGTAGGCTATTCCTTTTCACATAAGAGTTTAAGTTTGTATGTTCACTTGATCTTGAAGAACGAAAATATTACCAACACATAGTTAGGTATATTGATGATGTTATTGCATTTAACAACTTTAACAAACTAAAATGCAACTATTTACCCTACTTGCCTCAAACTTACTGCCACTTACTGCTAATCAAAATGATATTGTTTACCTTGATCTTCAAATTCTTAATTACAAGCTTATTAAAATATTTGACAAGCACAGAGACTTTTTCATACATTAAAACTTAAAAACTGGTTTTCTAACATTTCTAAAAAAGTCATTATCAATAACCATTAATGCACAACTTCTTAGAATTAAAAGAATCTGTATAAATGCAGACCTCCTTCAAGAAGAAATACTCTACTTCATTAAAATCTTACAAAGCAATCTTATTCCAAATACTGTCATTAAAAAGTCTTTTAAAAAAGCTGGCATTTACCTCTTATTTTAGATTATTTGAATTAGATAATGAAATTTTTACTTAAATTTCAAGGGAAGGTAACTGATGGATGGCTAATTCAATTGATCTAATGTAAAAATGTAACATATTTTTCTCATAATTGGCACAGATATTCTGTTAAATTATTAAATTTATTATTTAATATCACTGTTTTCTGGCTATACCTTTTCTTTTATTAATTTAAGGGCTATTTTAATTTCAAAAAGCTTGTCCATCCTGTAGTGAAAAAGAAGAATTATGACTTTTTATTAACAAATTGATAATTTTTCCAATTTTATCTCCTTTCAGCCAGATAAGCACTTTCTTAGAAATTAGCCATTTTGATTTCACCTTCATGTTTTTTCACGACTAAGTTTTAAACAAGACGCCATCTTGGTCAAAATAGCCAATGTCAATCACCTATTAGCCTCTTTTTAAAAATACAGTCAAAAGTCGTTAATCCGGACTCATCGGGACTTCGGCGATTCCGGATTATCGATTTTTCCGGATTATAGATCATCAGTTTAAATCTCGTAAGAAGGCATGCAGAAATTCTAAAATTAAAAGTATGAAACCGTAATTTATGAAATAAAGAACAATTATGATCTAAAGGGTATCAAAATTTGCAAAAAGAAAAAGCTTAATATTTATTTGTTTACTTTATTAATCATTTCTTTCAATGTAAGTTGTTTAAGTTTTGCTTCGTTTCATGTGATAATACTTTCTCTTTAATTCTATTAAACAGACATAATTTCTTGTTCAGTTACAAAGTTCCGCTGTTCAAGTCCTATAATTGCTGTGTCGAGAATACTGACTAATTTGTCAATCGAAATTTTTTCGTTTTCAATAACCTCTGTCACTTTCTTCGCTATCGGAAACGAATTATAATGAAGAGGAACTTGTTTTAAATCATATCAAAGACGGAGCACATCGAGATGAAATACTACATTTGATAAGGAATTATAAGCCAAATAAAATAAAAACATCTGCGCTGAAGATAAGGATAGTGCTGACAGATCAACTTCCAATTCATTACGCGTTCCCCCCGCCGAGTAGCGTGAAATTGATAAACAGATTTCAAAACATACTTTCGCTTTAGATCCTTTACACATATTAACAAAATATATATCGGAAATTCTATTTGATATAATCAAAAGTTTAAATTTACTTTTATAAAATTGCTCTTACAGTCTGCAAAAAATAATAAGCTGGATCCAATTCGAAAATTAAGGAACAACGCAATCATCAACATTAACTGAAATAGATAATTATTTAGCTTATACGTCCATTATACATAAAACGCGCGCGCGGAAACATATTCTGCACTTGCGCACACTCATATGCGCAGTCGTAAAAGGTCTTACGCGCACGCGTAAACGCCTATGCGCATGTGTCAACGCAGTGCATGCGCAGAAAGTTTTTAGTTTTGAGGTCCGAATTATAGATCATTCCGAATTATGGGTGTCCGAATTAACGACTTTGGACTGTACAAGTTTTATCCCCTTTGGCCGTTGCTTACCATTGGGTATTGCTTCTTTATGTCATTTTCCCCTTCTATGAAGCTTCACCATATTGGAGAAATTTGGCTACTTTGCTTTTCTGGTAATATTTCTTGAGAATGATTCTTTTTATGGCAACTCCTAGCAGCCATTTGATCGTTTTTAAGTTGAACGTAAGAATTTTTTTTTTTTTTTTTTTTGTTTTCTTCTTTGGTCTTTGCAAGACCCATTTTGATGTGTTTTATTATGTTTCTTTTGATTCTTCTCCTTAAAAAGTGTATAATTTTCAAGCTAAAGTTCCAAGTCAGTTCCAAGTGTGTTTTAAGCGAAGGGAACTTATTTCCTCAATGTATAGCATTTGATGCAAGTTAGTAATTGAACAGCAAACATAGTTGCAAAATATAATTCGATAGTTTGAAATCAAAGCAGAGGTTTTAAGAGAAAACTTATTCTCTTCTTTAGGCCCACCAGCGGCCGAACGGTAAAGTCGCTGAACACTGGTAGTTCGGTCCGAGGTTCGAATCCCGCGAACGGGCTGGCTGCATGGGCGTTTTCGTGGTTTTCCCCATGTGTAACATGTATACGAGCCAGTTTCCCTTAGAAAGTCCTCCACGAAAGGCATCCCTCCCCTTAGGCAGATAGCCCTAGTGTGCTTTGCCATAATTAAATACACCACCACACCAAGCTAAAGGAACATCCCTTCAAATTGTGTAATTTGTGGACTAATAGCTTTTAGCTATTTATTTTAATTGTACGTTTGCCTAACTCAGCTTTCTTGTATAGCTTTGTTTTGATTAATAGTAACTTTTACATTTGAAATTTAAATTACTGTGCATCCATTGCTTTTTTGCTAGTTCCCCCCCCCCTTCATTGTACATTTGCCCAACTAGGCTTTCTTGTAAAGCTTATTCTTGTTAAATAGTAAGTTTTATATTTGCAATTTAAATTACCGTGCTTCGGGAAAAGGAGCGATATAATTGAGACTTGCTAAACTTTTTTAGATAATTAAGCTGGATTATCCTGTTTATAGTCTCAATTATTATCGTTTGACGAAACGCGCCGTAGGTATTAACTTAATTCGAGTTTTGAGCTCCCTTGATAAATCCGCCTCAAACCTCGAGTTGAACTAGTTACCATTTATTACAAATTTTTTTGGACATATTTACTGTGTATTTGAAATGTATTAATTTTTACAAGAGGTTTTTTTTTTTTTTTTTTTTTTTTTTTTAATTCTTTGTACGTTAAAATTTATTTTTATCACCCATTTTTGATTTTGAAGTCATCTCAATTTGTAATTTTTACATTTAGTTTTTACGAGATAGCTCTTACTACTTTAATATTGTTTTTTCTAATTGTGACATGATTTTACATTTTTGCTAAGGAACTGTAGTATCAAATGTATTTTTTTAGCATTAGCTTTTAAAAATACCTCTTACTTATTAAATTAAAAAATGTTGCAGCTCAATGCGCAAAATTCTTGACCACTAAAATCTCTCTAATTCAAGTTGTCTTTCTACTTTCTTATATATTCATATAAGATAAAAAATCTGTAAATCAGCTTTATAACTTAATTTAGCAGTAGCTTCTTAATTACTCATTTGGGTACTTCCTTTCTATATTTTAGAGATGGTAATAACTTTTCAGGCCTGCATCATTTCTAGATCAATCTATGTCACATGGCTTGTATAATGCTAGTGATATAGCTAGTTCGGAACCTAAAATAAAAATTTTGAGAACTGAAACATTTGTCTTAATAAGCGAACTAAACCAAAACCTCCCCTTGCCTTATAGCCTCTATATTGGATAAATTTGCACTTTAGCTCCTGCCTGTCTCTTTATTAAGAGGCTGCTTCTCTGCTCTCTTCTTATTGCAACAGCAAAAAAATAAATAAATAAATAAATAAATATTCTGGAAATATCCAGGATTAGAGTGCCAAGTGAATTGTGGCCACAAATGTCAATTGAAATAAAAATGAAATTTAATTGGCCTCAACTGCCAAGCTTCCTAGTCATTATAGATTCAACATTTTAGCATTCTATGCAATCAGAATTCTTCTTCAATATGGATCTATGTTCAATGCTATCTATATGCTGCACCATCAGTATTTCTCTGTTTCCATGTCTCAGTGTTCCTACATTAGTACTTCTAAATTTGTTTTTATTACATAAATATATGCATATATATGGTTCCTAAAAGTTATTATATATATGTGTGTGTGTAATAATAAAATTCCATAGTCAAAAATACACTTAAAATTCTAACTGTATGTTCTTTTCATTTTTAATGCCGACGGTCTTTTATTTGAAAGTACGTGGAATTAAATCCACAGCCCCATAGTCAAGTTGTTTTTCCCGCTTTTTCTACACGTTCAGTTATAGAATGTTCTGGAAATATTTAAAGCGAACTGGAATGGCTGACGTCATTTCTTGGAAGCTCTGCCTTTTCAGAGGCTATAAAAGGGCTCGCAAAGGAATTTCTGGGTCTTTTCTTTTAATGTAACGATGCAGTAAACTTCATACAAAAAGTTATTAGTAGTTCTTTTTTATTTACTCCGGAAATCTGATTTTTGTAACTGCTATTTCTCCTGAATAATAATAAATGGATCCTGTTTTTTAAACTTATCATTTGATACTTTGAGCTTCGACTACATTTATGATTCTTCACCAATCTATTTATTGCAGACAAAAGCTGGTACATCACATATATGTATAATGCTGTATGATCTTAAATTCACTTAGTGCAAAATCGAGTTATTCTACTACTTGCGCAATTGCTGCAAAGTAAGTTAATAATAATTTATTTACTAAAGAATTGTATATATCAATTTTTAGGAACCATAAAATAAAATGTAATTCCTTTTTAAACTTTTGAATATTTCCAAAACATGTTTAATTTGATTTACTTTGAAGGAACACAAAATGTATATTTTAAGAATTTTTATTACTGTAATTCATAGTTAGTGAAGGAAATAAAGGGCAAAGAATGAAAGAAATTTCATTATACATTTTTAGAAGGAAACGATTTTTGCAATTTAACAAATGCATGTAAAGGTGTGTGTATAGATTTTAAAAAAGTAATCCGTAAGATCTTTTATGTTTTAACTTTCTATTTTTGTTCTCATTAATATTTCTGTATATTTTTATATGCAAAACATTTTCAGAAAAAATCTTATGAAATGGTTCTTATTCATCTTAACTTTCATGTTAGATAGGTTCTATGATTACACTTCTAATAAAAATTTTGTAAATACTAAATTCTAAAATTCAGCTTCAAAAGTTACATTTTTGCTTTAGAAATTGAAAATTATATCAATTTCTTAAGAGGTGTATGTTACTTATCACAATAAATTTTTAAATTGAAATGTGAGCAGTTTACTTATACTTCAGTGTGGCGGTTTCAGTGATATTTTAAAGATTAAATTATGGTAAGCAAAAATGCTTTAAATAATGTTATTGTAATGGCTTTGAAAATAAATTTAAATACCATCCTGCCAAAAAGAAAAAATATTCTGAATGAATTTTTATGTTTGTGAAAAGTAAAAGGCAATGTACTCATTATGTTTTTAGAGAAATTTAATATTTTTTAAATATTTGTGTTGGGATCTGGATCTTGTCTTATTTCTGTGTAATTAAAAAATTTTGTTTCGCAGGACAACAAAGATTGGACTGCTAATCCATGTCATATCACTTCTGAAGATTATTTTAATCCTGAAATTGATTTGGGTGGAAAGGATATAGGTCGTCCCAGAGAAATCTCTACTAAAATACAAAAATTTAAAGCTAATTTATGGCTGTGTGAAAATTATCCATTGTCACTTCCAGAACAAGTAAGTACATTTCATGTGAGTTTAAAAAGAAAAAAAAAAGAAAAGTAAGAGCACGCAATATAATGATTCATTAAAAGTGCATTATTACCAAAATAGTTTTGTCTTCCTAGATCCTGCCAATTGTTGATTTAATGGCTATTAGCAGTACCCATTTTGCAAAATTGAGAGATTTTATAACTTTACAACTGCCAGCAGGTTTTCCTATAAAAATCGGTGAGTTTTTATTTATATTTTTATATCTACATTTTTAAAATTTATTAATTTTAAGTTTAAGGGTGTAGTATGAAATTTTTTTCCGAAAATAAAATTTTAAAACTATTTTAATTGTTGTTATAATACCCAGTAGCAAAAGGGAAAAAGAATGTTTTTATATTATTAGCACTTTATTTTCAGTATGTTGTCAACCTTTTCACTAGTTGTATGCATGTGTATGTGATGATAGTTTCATAGATAATTTAGAGCTGAAATTACAAATTTATTTATTACCATAGCTAGTTTAAATATTAAATTACTTGGAATTTAAGCTGCAGTATGACTGAAATTAGAAAACTGGTAAGCATAGTAAAAAATAAATGCCTCAAATCTAAAGTCAGTAGGATTTTGCAAGTGAAAACTTTTATAAATAATAAAAAGTAAAGATTTTATATGTATTGAAAATATTTAAAAAAATATTTACATGAATATATGCTAATATAAATATAATAAGCTACCTAATTTATAGAGAATGTTCTTCAGATATACTATCACTTTCCACAAGTTCACTTTCAGAATTTGAATTCTTATTTGTACTATTGAACCAGATCATATCATCTTCAGTGTCGTGTAAATTATTAATAATGCAACTTAAAATATATGTATGTATTTCTTCAGAAATATAATTCTAAGACATGGGAGCAGGAAAAGATTTTAAAAATATTTGCTTTGAATTGAAGCATCGCCATAATTTTGATTCTAAAAAATTTAAGGAGGGGGGAAATGACTTGAATTGAAAATGATATGGTCAGAAGCAAATACATTTTTAGTATTTCTTTCATTTAATTTTAATATTTTTTCATTAAGCCATATTATGCATTTTCGGCACTATGTTGGTACATTTTGCCAAAATAGATTAGCTGGAGGCTCAGTACTAAATGAAATGAAATGATTAGGAACAGTATTAAGACACATTCTTTAATTTCACGACAAAATCCTTTGAAAACCCATTGTGGAGGAAAGAATATGGACAGTGTTATTTTTTCATTTTATGATTCTTATCAGTTTATGCAATTTTGTAGTGTCCATCAATTTAACGTTAGGATGAGATAACAGGTACAGGTAGAAATGGGCAGGATACCAAAAATTCACCATTGTATATTTGTGGATATCTATGTATATACTCTGCTTGTGCAGAGTCCAGCCATGCTAACAGTGCCATTTCGAACCAATTTTGAGAGAGATCACCCTGATGGAGGATGCACTTCAACCTTACCCCTTACTATCAAACCCCACTACGTTGCTTTCAGTGCCAGTGTTTCAGCCATTCGAAAATCTGCTGTCGCGACAAAGTCATATGTGCACGCTCCTCTGTGGAAGGCCACGACAGCGAAAACTGCAATGCCATGCCACTATGTGCAAACTGTAAAGGGGATCACACTGCATTCTTTCGATTTTGTCAAAAATGGAAATCGAAAAAAGACATCCAAACTATCAAGTTAACAAAAAGTATTTCATATTCAGAGGCGAGAAAAACTGTCGCAGCCGGGCAAAAAGTCATACGCTAATTTTGTAAAATCTGTTAAATCCATAGGAACACAAACAAAAATATGTGCACAAAATAAGCAGCCAGTCCATAATATCAAGATAATAGCTAAAAACCCCAATAATAATGAAACTAAAATGACCAACTGGAAAATAAAAATGAGAGAAAGAAAATTCCACCACTTCCCAGAAATCCGAGCGCAAGCTCCTTTGGGAGCATTAGTTCAGAAGAGGTGAATTCTGATATAAATGTGGAAGAGGGACTGCATATTCCGAGACACCTGCTTCCACGAAAGACAAAAAACAGCACCAAAAAGGTAAACCCTTGTTTCTTGGAATTTTCGCGGCTTCCACCAAAATCTCATTAACATAAAAACTTGATCAATAAATATCATTCCATGTGTTTGGCAGTCCAGGAGACACTTCAAAACCAGAGAGAGAAGCTAAGCTTCGAAGGTTTCTCATTTGCCAGGAAAGACAATCTTGTAGGAGAGCGTGCGAGTAGAGGTGTTGGTCTCCTCACTTTGCTTAACCACCCTTCCATTTCATTTCTTTGAAAAAGAAGCCTTCAAGCTGTTTTCATTCAAATAAATATAAATTTTCTGGTTTCGGTTTGTTCTATTTTCCTCCAAATGATGAACACATTGATCAACGAAATTTAGATGACTTAATATGTCAACTGCCTGTTATCATGTTAGGCGACTTTAATGCCCATAGTCCGTTTTGGGGAAGTAAGGACACAAAGCCTCGAGGAAGACAAATTGCACAAATGATTGAAGATCATTGCCTTTGTCTGCTTAACACGTCGAGCGCCACGTCAGCCATGTGTGGCTGACACTAGATTTTCCGTTTAGGACGCGTCAGCTATCTGTGGCTGACACTAGAATTTCCGTTTAGGCTGCATCATACATCTGTGGCTGACACTAGATTTTCCGTTTAGGCCGCGTCAGCCATCTGTGGCTGCACCAAACTTTCCGTTTAGGTCGCGTCAGCCATTTGTGGCTGACACTAGACATTTTAGTTTAGGCCGCATCGACCGCTGCTGGCTGACAGTGTCTAACATGATATATAACTATAAAATTTACACTGTTTTATGAAATTACACAAAATTTTAATTAATTTTGATTCATGATTTGATTTTGATTCATTGGATTTCATTGAAACACGGTAAACATAAAAACGGTTCTCCGTTACAGCTATTACAAAATGTGACAACACTCTTTTAGTCTTTCTACCAGCTTCTGTTGCATTTTTATCATAACATAATTTACAATATTTTCGTACTTCAGAGCCTTTTCCCGGTTTCCTTCGGAGTTGTCATTTTCTAGATATTCTTGCATTTTTGTTCGATGGAATATCTTCTTTTTAACAACTTGTTGCTATATTCTACCGTGGTATGAATCACTGGCCCTACAATACCGGTGCTTTTAAGCGAAGTGCGAGGCCTGAACGGGATTGCCTAAAACATACGTGTGGCGCTCAACGTGTTAATAATGGAGAGGATACCTACTTCTACAAGCCCACAGGGGCATTTCATGCACTCGATCTTGCAATTTGCTCACCATCACTGTTGCTTTTTTGCACATTTAGTGTAGGAAATTATCTTTAATAGTAATCACTTCCCAATTTTTATATCTCTTGCTTGAGAAAGAGTGACTCCTATGTCAACATCCCTTTTATATTTGATAGGGCAGACTGGGAACTCTTCTCCTGTCTTGCAGATATTACAGACGAAATGTTGAAAGATATGCCTATTGATGATTCTGTGAAAGCTTTTACTGATAGTGTTGTTTAGGCAGCTACAATTTGTATACCTATAACATCAACAAAGTTACCAGAATTTTCAAAATCACGGGGGAACAGGAATTGCCAAGAAGCTCTCAGAAGACAAAGAAAAGCCTGGGGTATCTTTCATTGATATCCCACATAGTCAAACCTTCTAGCTTTCAAAAAAAAAAAAAAAAAAGCGAAAGCACATGCAAGGAAAGTTAGACATAAGAGCCTAAGGGATTCATAGATGTCTTACGTGTGGAATTTCATCCTCTACATCTAGTAAATGAGTATAGGAAAGAGTTGGAAAAGCATGTGGATTGTATAAAGACCACTCTTTTCCCTTTCTGGAAAAAGACAGCTATGTGATTAGAACCGCAAAAAAGAAATAGCGAATACCATAGGTGACGCTGCTACTGTTTCAAACGGCAGCAACTACTCGCCTGCTTTTCTTTCTGCCAAGCATCACTTGGAAAAAACTCACTTTGTATTCATCCTTCCAACTCGGAGCCTTATAATGGCAATTTTACTACAGTTGAATTGAAGAGGGCATTATTGGACGCACATAGGACCAGTCCAGGTCCAGATGGTGTCAATTAGAAATGCTGAAGCATCTCTCCTGTAAGTCGCTGGCTGCCCTTCTTGCTCTTTACAATCGAGTGTGGAAGGAGCATACCTTTCTCAGCACATGGAAAAAAGCTGTAGTCATTCCCATAGCTAAAGCTGAAAAAGATGCGAAGAATCCTTCTAATTGGCCCATCGCTCTTACGAGTTGCATGTGCAAAGTGCTGGAAAAAATGGTAAACCGTCGCCTAGTCTATTACTTGGGAAAAAACAACATAATTTCTCCCATAATCAAAGAAGTTTCCATAAAGGTAGAACAACTGCTAATATGCCTTTTCTGGAAACTGGCATTCATAAAGCTTTTGTCAGGAGAAACCACCTCGTATCAGCTTTCTTTGACATTGAGAAGGCTTACGACAAGACGTGGCGGTGCGGTATTTTACAAGATGTTCATGCCAGTGGCTTGCACGGCAACTTACCAATCTTCATTCAAAATTTTTTTAGGGCTAAAACCTTTCCAAGTAAGAATTGGCTCAGTTTTGTCAGACAGTTTCGAACAGGAAAAAGATGTGTTTTAAGCATTACCTTGTTCAGCTTGAAAATAAATTCTGATTTAAAGGAACTTTCACCTGCAGTTTCGGATTCATTGTATGTTGATGACTTGCAGATCAGTTGTCAGGGTGCAGATATGAGATATATGGACAGATAGATGCAAATCGCTCTGAACAGGATCCAGATATGGTCTATGAAACATGGATTGGTTTTTTTGAAACAGAAGACTGTTTGTGTGCACTTCTGTAGAAAACGAAATCTCCATCCTGAGCTCAGGATTGCAGCTGCATGAGGCTTGCTCAGTGTTTACTTCAGAGATGACTTCTGTCTACTATGCCCTTTTATATATATCAAAGCAAACTCAGAAAAAGTTTTATCATTTACTCTGACTTGTATTGTGCGTTTAAAGCTTTAGAAGTATTTTCTGACACCTGCAATTCTTTAATTGTTGAAATTTTAAGACTGCATTTTAATTTATCTGTTAGTGGATAGATTCTTTACTGCTGTGTCCCTGGCCATATAGGTATTAATGGGAATGAACTGGTAGATGTTACTGCAAAATCTGTTGTAGGGTTCTCTACTAGGTGTGTTCCAGTCAGAGATATCGACATGACCATCAAGAACAAAATCATAGATAAATGGCAGCACTTTTGGAACCTTCAAGTAAGCAACAAAGTTACGAAGCATCAAGAATAAAGTCGTGTATTGCAAGGCTGCTAGAAACCGGAGGTAATTTTAACTCGCCTTAAAATTGGTCACTGTCGTGTTACCCATAATCATCTTTTAAAAGGTGAAAGTGAACCTATGTGTTGCCATTGTAATGTTGTTTTATCAGTGCATCACTTTTTAACTCAGTGTTCTTATTTTAGCAGACTTCGTATGAAGCATTTTAATAATTGTGACTTACCTCTTGACCCAATAATCGGAAAAGAGGTCAACGCTAATTTGTTTCATACCTGCAAGAGTCTGGTTTTTACTATTTAATTTGAATCATGTTTTAGATTATTGTTTTGTATTTTAACACCATATATATTAATGTACCTCATGTTTATATCTCTATTCTTTTCATTTTTATATTTATATTTCACCTTAGTGTGTTTTTGTTTAATGTCCTGGTTTTAAACTTGTGTTTATTGTTGACGTAAATAACCTTTTAGGTTGTGTGCCAAAAACCCTATTAACCAACCAACCTTTGTCTTCTTGAAAGCGGAAATATGTAAAATACAGAATTGGAAAGACAAATTAGCATACAGACCTTTAAATTCTTAATTAATTCTAAATTTAATTAAATACATCTCCTTTTAAAGAATACATATTGCACTGTTTTGTAGTATTTTCTGTGCAGTGCAAAAACTCTTGCCAGTTGCTATCCAGAACTCGAACGAAGAATTTCCTAGCTATAAATACTTCAGCAGCATTGCACGCAGCTTTCTTTTACCTTTTACTCTTGAATAACCCACATTTCTTGACTTATTTGCATTCTACCAGTGCTCTAAAATGTAACTACATATCCAAAATTGTATGGTGGAAGTTGTGTTCCCTCCATTCTACAGAATGTGATTCATGTTCAGAAATAAAATGTATTTAATTGGGAAGCTAGTTGTGCTTTGTAAAAATCTAGTTATCTGTTCAGCAATTTCAAGCTATCTGCTATCACTGTCACTGCCATTCCAACCATGATTGTTCACTCATGGGTCTTCTCTCCATCATCACATCTTTTTGAGTAAATTTGCTGAAAGGGGCTGTTGGTAATTTAAAGTATAATCTATAGCTACATATTTTTTATCTTACACACACACATATATGTATAAAGGAATAGTGTTCTCGATGCTTCTGAATACTTTTCTGTTTAGTTTTGGTAATATGAGGGATATTCCTATTGTTTTAGAGGTTTTATTCATTCCACTTAGAGTTTGGCTAGCATTGAGGCAAATATTTTGTGTATCATTTATTTTTTTTTTTTTTTTTACTTCAAATGGCAAGGAAAATATACTAATAAAGTTTTAAAATTAATTCTGACAATTATATCAGAATAATCTGGAACAAGTGGATCACAAATTTAATTTATTCATTTTTTTTTCCCAAAGTTAAACTTAGCGGTACTGCAAGACAGTGCTTAATGATAAGTGTGCCATCCTGAGAGAGCGGTTTTGTGACTGAGGCATCTATCACAAAAGTGTTAATTGTGCGTGTGTGTTTGTATAAAATTAAATGAATGCGATCAGATATAAATACTTACATTTTGCATGAACTGTAAAAAAGTATTTGCTGAAGCCAAAAGTTTATTAAATCTTAATATTTTTCTAGAATGAATATTATTTTTCATGATACAAATTCCCTTTCTTTTAAAGAAATTCCACTCTTCCATGTACTAAATGCTCGAATAACATTTGGAAATATATTTGCTCTTGATGAACCTGTACCGGGAGTTACACCTATAAAAGAAGAAAAAGTTGTTGCTTGTGTACTGGATGATAGCTGTTTTGATACACCATCTGGATATGTACGTTTAGGTAAGATTGCTCTTCTCATAAAACAAATAGAAGGTAATATTTTATTGCTGTTTTGAATTGTTACAGCATTAAGTGATTGACAAATGTGTCAAAATAAGTTATTAACATGCAAACAGACAAAGTTAAAATTGACCTCATATTTCAGATTTAATAGTAACAGTGAAAAAAATTTTAGAGTTAAAATAAACAAACAAATAAATAAATAAACAATGAAGTAACTTTTAATAAGGATAGTTACGAGGGAAAAAGAATGTATGTTGTTTTCATAATTAAAATTTCTATAATACTTTCCATTTTCAAGATTTCTCGTATTTTTTCAGAAAACTTTTCTTTTACAGAGTTTTCTTTATCATACTAAGAACACTGTAAGAATTTAAAGCAGGAATTTTTTCATGTGGCCATAAAATAGCTGCCAGCTCTGTCATCATATTTTCTGGTTTTCCCACTGAATATCTGGGTTTTTAATTTTTAGCCTGTACTAAATAAAATTAACAAAGAAAATATTTCCTGCTATTAATGGAATTTAAATCAGGATAATTCTATTCCCCAACTTAGTGATTTTTTGACATATTTTCTCTTTTAAAAGATTATTTGATTTGAATTGTCTTTGAATTGATCTGTAGACATCTTGAAGACTTTTTATGAAGATTCAAGGAATGTTTATTCAGTTAATATTTGTATTTAATTTTGTTTAACATCAGTAAACGGTACATTACTAAGTTTATCCAAACAATAGTATGTATGTTAATTATTTATTTTATTTTCAGCATATTTAAAAGTACTTTCATGAATAAATCATTTTTCTGTACTCAGGATTTTCTCAGTATAAAAATGTTAGAAAATTATGAAATAAATTTAGCCAAAGAACATAAAAGGATTTTAGAAATGGCATCGCTATACAGCATGAAGACTTCACAGAAACTTCCAGTATTCTCCCACAAACCTCCAGTGTTTTCATATTTCAAGGTTATATGAATTATAAGATTAGCTACTGTGTCTTAAACCTTAAATTTATATTTGCTATTTCTTTAAAAATCCAAAGTAGAGTGAACAAATAACATTAGGTTTATGCATTAAGAACTGAATTTAAATCTGAACTTTACTTTTTCCCTGAGAGAGAAATAGGTAGACCTTTATAATTTTTTTAACAAAATTGGGTACTATTCCGTTTTGAGGACCGTAAAAAATTGCCAAACTATTGTTGATGCCAGTGCTGCCAAAAATAATTGCAGCAACCCTAATGCAAGAAAGGAAGTATAATAGTAAGTAACTATCTGAGGATTATTGTTTTAATTTATATGAAAGGTTAATTTCATATAATACTTTTTTATTATTATAATTTATATTAAAAAGGCCAAACATAATTAAAATGGAAGCATAAGAGTAAAATAACTATTTCAGATCATCATTATAATTTATATAAAAAAAGGCTAAACATAACTGAATGGATTCCTGCATCGCTATTTCGGTACCAAGCATTTTTTTGGTTGTTCAAACATAATTTTCTATAATGAGTGATACCTTTTCTATGGAAAAATTCTATCGCAGACTTTTCGTCATGGGCAATTCCCAAATTGTTAAATCCATAGGATATCAAAAAAGGATTTAAAAATGAAACTAGTATTTCAATGCCGTAAGAAATATAGAACTATCTAAACTTATGCAATTTGAAATCTGCGCGTACACTAGATTTGGTGCGCTTTTAAATGGGCGCATTTGCTATATTTGGCGCTTTTGCGCATACATTTTCGCCACAATTTTTTACAGTCCTCAAAAGTGAATAGTACCCAAATTTTTATTTAATTTATGTTCCAACTTTTACTTCTTTATTTATTATCAATTTATTATAATCTAGCAGCTTCAGCACAGATAAGTCTCTTTTCTTTTTAATTTGTTACTGCTTCAATGATGATTCTTAAGAGTACATATACCTTATGCTGTCTTAAGGAAAAATTACAGAATTTTATCCATATATATGTATTAATTCAATGGGATAGATGACTTGCTGATTCCTAAACTGCACACATAGAGTGATAGAGTCGCATAGATGGAAATGATAATCATGTAGACAAATGTGTTCAAATTCAGCAATAATGTTGGATAAAGCATTTTGGGAGACATAATATTTGGTTATGGGTGTAGTATGCACTCCATTATTTATAAAACTTAGCCCATTTTCAAACAATGGACAATAGTAACCCAAGCGACGTGTGCAAGCTAGAGTCAACGGAACAAACGTTACATGCTCTCTTTTGCCTTCCGTTTAGTAACAAACGAAAGGCAAAAGAGAGCACATAGTCCGATTGCAGCGGTATTTATAATAAAATTTTTCTTTAATCTCATTGGCTAAAAACTATACACAGTTCAGAAGATTAAGAATGTGGAATTACTTTTCAGATATGACACAGTTTCGAAAAAGTTGTTACTATTTTTAGAATAGAGGGGATTTACCCAAATTAAAAAGAGAAATTAAGTGGCTGTTGCTAATTTAACTGTTTGGTTCCCAGGGGGTATTATTGAAAAAACACTGTCGAAGAATCCCAAACAGTACAACTGCGCTTTCTATAAATGAGTACAAAAAGACCCTAACAGTGCAGTAGAGCTTGTTGTATTTTATGTCGAGAAATACCAAGCGGCATGACAGCACTTTGTTTGTTTTACTTTTGTGGGCACTTGATTTAAATCGAGTGCTTACATTATCAACATCAAGTGCACCGTCATTTGTCCACAGTGTTCGAAATGTACTGGGTTTTCTCGACATAAAATCTAAACAGCGTGATCATGCTGCTTGGGATTCAAACAGTTAAAATATAATTCAGAGTTACATATTTTTATCTTATTTTTAGAATGGAAAAGGTCGAGTGCCCAAATTAAAAAGAGGATTTAAATGGCTATTGCTAATTTAAAGTAAAAACCAGGGTTTCTTTTTTTTTTAAAAAAAATCACATATTTTTCTCCTTCAAGGAGAAAAAAAACTTGGCGATGGAAAAGTAAGAAGCAAAGAAATGGAAATTTTGTACTATATTTACAGTTTCATTGAGAAAACAAACAAAGAAATGGCTTCAAGATGTAATTTAGAAATTCTGGAATGAAGTATCCTCCCGTAAATTAAATTTAGAGTCCAATTTGTAAATTCTTAGGGAAACGCAGCTTGAAGATTATATAATGAATTTTATAGTTTTTTGATAGTGTTTCGCAAAATCTATTACAATCAGTATAAAATCAAATTTTTTCCCTTATTTATCCATGAAATTCTAGAATAAAAAGAAATTAAATGTGTCTGTCGTAGCTGAAAACTGCGGCCCGAGGAATGTGACTGCTGGAAAAAAGAAAAGAAAAAAAAAAAAAAAAAATACCGAGTTTGAGACCATAGCTAATTCTTCTAATTAAAAGAAATATATTAAATTTATGGATTAGGCGTATTCCTAGGGGAACAGCAGGCATGTGCTGTCACTGCTTATATACAGCCTAAGGAGAGAATGGAGGGAGTATATAGTGTAAAACCTGAGGGTAGACAGTTAAAAGGACTCCATTCTTTGTGTAACTGCAACTGTCCATTTTGAAGTGCACTAAAACATTCCATTTATATAGTATATATATATATATATATAAATTTTATTTCACCCCATTATAAAAATAATGATTATATATGAAAAAATTATAAGGTGGAAGCCTTCAAAATTTATATTCACTTCATTCTTAAAATAAGCAGAAAATTCTTAGAATTCAGACATTTAAATAGTACTGCAAAAATACATTAATCATGTTCATAACCTTCCCTAAATAAAATATTAAAATTCTTTAGTTTGTTGAAGCAAAATTCATATTTTTAATTCCATATAATTTTTAATCTTTTATATTTCATTAAACACTGCTATCTTTTAATTCAGTATAAGAAGAAACAGCAGTATGTGTTCAAATCTCAAAATAATAATTAATATTATCAGCAGTTTTTTATTCTATGAAACATATTTAGTTACATTAATGACTGATCAAATTATCTATTTTATGACCAAGGAAAATATTAGTATAAACTATGACAACAACATTAAAAATACATTATGAAATAACAATAAGAATTTTTTGTTTTCAAAACCATTTAAAAAAATACTGAATTGTCATGCTTTCATTTCTTGAACAATATTTTTTTTTTAAGCAGCACAATCAAATAGCAGAAATTTTAAAGAAAATATAAATGTAAAATATAGTCCTCAGCATATTTAATAATTCTGTTTAGTTGGAAAATGAATCTGAGTCAAATTCACATGAAGATAATAATTTTGAATTTTCAACTGACAGAATGCTGTTAAGAAAAGGTGAAGGGCAAATAGTAATTTTTTAGTGCACATACTTGAAGCACACACTAAAGACAGATTGACGACTTTGGACCCTTTGTAATTCTGAATCTTTTAAGCAGGAAATCATTTTGATAATCTGAAGCACATTTTTCTCCCCTAAATATTAAAGAGGTGACTGATGAAATTTCCTAACTAGTTTAGCCTTGAATTGAAGTACTAACGCCAAATTTAATTTCATTGCAACTTTTGAACTTGCAGATAAACGAAATACTTATACTGCACTTTAAGGCAGGGCTATTCTCCACAGATGAATTTTCTATTGAAGTTTCACAAAACAGGTGAAAATCGTGCCATGTAAATTCTAACTTTGGTGGTTCCATGGTGTAGATGACTTATTGATTCCCAAATGGTACACGTAGACTGATAAGGCCATGTAGATAAAAATAATGGACTTGCATACAGAAGTGGCCGAACTCAACATAATTTTATTATTGGGTAAAGCATTTTTGGAGCAATTTTGCTTCACAAAGAATTATGGGTGCAGTATGCACCCCACAATTTTTTTAACTTAACCCATCATCAAACAGTGGACAATACAGTGACCTGAGTGGCATGTGCAAGCTAGAGCAGTAAAGAAGAGTGAAAGAGAGTATGTATTTGAATTGCAGTGTATTTATAGTAAAATTTTTCGTTGATCTTATT